TGGGTAGTGACATACCTACGGCTTTGAGTATTTTTGTTGTTGTTGTTGTTTTGCAAAAAAGAAGCTGTGAATGACATCCGGCTGTTTGCTTGGTAACGGCTTAAGACGAACAAAAACTCACAATTGCACAAAAAGAGGCAAGAGACAGACAAAAACACCACACACACACATTCACTTACACATATATAAATAACAGATGAAAAAGGTTTTTTGTTATGTTTTGTTGTTGTTGATAAAATAGCACACACGGTACGGTACGACACGACGAACTATGGCAAACGACGAACGACAGCAAGAAAGAAAACACGTTAGACAAGATCACCAGCGCAATAAATACAATGACGCTGGCGTCAACGTTGGGGGCGCTGCGCACTCAACAAGTCGCAAAAAAACAGGGTTAAATATTTCGTTTGGTTTGGTTGCTTATTTTCGAATAATTTTTAATTAATTTTTTTTATTTTCACTACTTTGTTTAATAAATAAATATTTGTTTAATAAATTGGGTGGTTTTGTTTACATTTCAATTATTTTTTTCCACAATATTTTGCATTTTTTATTATTATTTTTAATTAATAGAAATTCTTTTGCTTGTTGGAAATATTTTTTTTGTTTACACTTTGGCTATAATATGAACGTTGTTGGTGGCTGGCTATCCGCGTTTAACGACCGTTTCTCTTAAATGTTCGTTTCAAACTAATCGTTTGGTGTTGTTGGTTGGCATGGTGATGGTGATGCTTGTTGAGTGTGTTGTATGAATGGATTGGTTGGAAGGCAACAAAAAAAAGGTTTTGTTGTATGGTATGATGTTGCAGAGGAGAGGTGGTTGGTACAGAGCATTTCAGTGATGACAATTTGGCGTTTTTTTGGACAAATTTTTGAAAAATAAAAAATGACAAATTAAAAATGAAAAAATTAAAAGCTATATAAAAAATATTAATTTATATTAAAAAATTATTGATTATAAAAAAATAAAAAAATAAAAAGAATATTATAAAATTATTGATTTGAAAAAATGTAAAACCTAAAAACAAAATTTCAGTGATGACAATTATTCGTTTTTTTTTTGAATATTTTTGAAACTAAATTTTTGAATTTTTATGACTTCATTTGACCAAAAATTAAAAAACAAAGCTATAAAAACAACAAAAATATTTATTTTCTCAATCAAAAGAAAATCGCAAAAAATTTTCAAAAACGCCACATTGGCCACACACTTCCAACTTGTGGCGACTTAACATTTGCGTACCACAAAGAGTACATTGTTTACAAATTTACCAACACCGATTCAAACATTTTTTGCCGATATCAACAAAAAACAACATACGACGACGTCTGCAAACAAAAACAATGCAAAAATGTGATTCCAATGAGGAATTTAGAAATTGGAAATAAAATTTTACTATTAATCTTTTATTGATATAAAAAATATTTATAAAAATTAATGAAAGCAATTTTGCAAATATACCCACCATATATTATAAAAAAAGTACACGAACTATTTGGAGTTCATTTTGAAGTTTTAGATTTGTTGTCAACTAATAAATCATATTTGTCACAATAAATATATTTTTATTTCATCTTTAATATTTATTTTTTATATCTTTTTAATTATTTTTCACTATTTTCCACAATTATTTTATTTATTATTTATATTTTTCATGTATTTTCACCAATTACTTTTATTTTTATGCTACCTGTTTGTGGTGTTGCTATTACTTGTTGTTGTTGCTTTTGTTATTATTGGAGTTTCAACTTGTTTGCTTCTTCCTTCACTTGGCACACTTCACAATTATAACTTCACTTGAAATTCGATTTATTATTCTCTTTTCTTATATAATTTCATATACAACTATACATACATATGTTAAGGCACTTGTTTTGCAAATAATTTTTCATTTATTTAATTGTTATTAACTATAAAAATTGCATTTTTTAAAAACACAAAAATAAAGAGGCAATACGATAAAACTAGGGATAAGTAAATCGATTTTTGACTAATCGATTTATCGACTTTTGATCTGTGAGGAAATTGTTATCCTGAGGTGACGGCGTTACATACGGCGGAAGCAGCATTGACGCCGTTACATACGACAGAAGCAGCGTCAACGGCGTCTGAAACAGCTAAGGCATTTTTTTGAATGACAGTTGATTAAAATGTTGAATTTAAGGGAAATATATAATAAATTAAAAAAATAAATATAAATACTTTAACATATATAAATAATTATTTATTTTATATAATAGAAATATTATATTAATGTTAACATGCCGCATTACACTCAACATTACGGCGTTGATTGTAATGAACGCGTCGCCAGCTATGGCTGATAATAACTAACGTTTATTTTAAATAAATAATTTTAATGAAATATATGTAATATGTTTTAGACGTTCGATCGATACCTTGTGGCAGCCAAGGTTCGCACCCGTCTTAATGTAGCATCAAAGGTGCGATCTAATGTAACACGAAAACTCGACGTCGAAAAGCCGGAAACACAACAGGTGGTATAGGCCTACTCCGCTCAACTTACCCACCTTGAAGAGAGGAGAAACGTATTTTCAGAAAAAAGAACAAGAAAACGTGAGCGTGAGCAAATCGAGATGTACAGGCAGTCAGAATGAAGTCCGAAAATTTTAACAACGAGTAAAATACCGAAGGCTTTGGTGCAGGCACATCCTCCCGTAGAAATGAAGACAGACAGATACAGACAGCGTGCTGAGGATCTGGAAGGAGCATTTTGAAAAACTTCTGGTATCAAATAGCGGCTAAGAGGATACCCCAGAACCAATAATAGATGACGGTATAGAGTGTATACCACCTAGCCCAGATGAGGTCAGAATAGCAATCAATCGGCTGAAGAATAATAAAGCAGCTGGTCGGGAGCATGCACCAGCTTATTAGTACAATTTGGCTAGAGGAATGCATGCCCAATGATTGGAAACTCAGCATCCTGTGTCCCGTGCATAAAAAAAGGAGACAAGACGATATGTGCCAACTATAGAGGAATAAGACTCCTTCCCATCGTATATAAAGTGCTATCCAGCGTGTGTGAACGACTGAAGCCAATGGTTAATTACATTATTGGACCATACCAATGCGGCTTCAGACCTGGCAAATCCACCATTGACCAGTTTTTCACTCTGCGCCAAATCCTGAAAAAAACCACGAAAAACACATCGACACATTCCAACTATTCGTTGACAATAAAGCCGCATTCGACATTTAAAGACATGTCTGCGTTTGGCATTCCTGCAAAATTAATTCGGCTATGCAGGATAACTTTAACTGGCACAAGATCAGCAGTTAAAGTCGGAAAGGACCTCTCGGAGCACTTTAATACCGAACGAGGATTCAGACAAGGTGATAGTTTGTCGTGTGACCTTTTTAACATCCTGCTGGAAAAGCTCATACGAGAGGCAAAGGTGAACAGAAATGGCACTCTGTACACCAAACAACACACGTTACTCGCCTACGCCGATGACATCGACATAATGGGTCGAACATTGAGAGTAGTAACATCCACCTTTGAACAAATTGAAAAGAAGTCTGCCAAAGTGGGTCTGACAGTAAACGGCGAGAAGACCAAGCTGATGGTATCAACGCGCAAGACGTCCAGTAGATCGGACCAATTGTGGAACTTGAGAACTACAGCTTCGAGGTAGTCCAAGATTTTATATATCCAGGTACCGCCATAAATGATACTAATGACATCAGTTTTGAAATTCGTAGAAGTATAGTGGTGGCCAACAGATGCTACTATGGTCTGAGTAAGCAACTCAAAAGCAAGGCCACCTCCCGCCGTCGAATTAACCATGAGCTATACACACTTTAAGTTTATGCCCGATTTAGGTTTTTATACAAATTTTTATTACGATTTCATTAAAATGTATGTAATAAAATATATATATATTTAGTGAGCTCAGTAGAAAAATACACATTTAATTCATTAATTTAGCCTAAAATCAAGTTTGAGGTTATGTCCGATTTTGCATATATCCTCAAATTGTGACTTTCATAACTTTATTGTGCTGTATTCGTTCATTATTTTGTATTCACAGAAACAAAAATACTCAAAATTTGCCCCTTGGTCCACACCTTTATTATGAAAAATAAATATCTGATTATGTATATCAAAAAATTAAATGTTTTTTCTGCGAATATGTACCAAAACCACACCAGGCATAGATAAATTTTGTATTTTCTTTATTATTTTTAATTTAATTCTCTTAAATTTCAATTTTTTCTTTGATTATGTCACTTTTATATATCAACTGCCCATGGTGTGATGTGTGGCTCCGCCACTTTACAAACACTGTTGCATTTGGAAATATCTAAACGATTTTGTGTGCCCTTATTCTAGCAGAATAATATAACGGTAAAAAAAAATACAATCATTTATAATTTTTTTAATTAATTTTCATTAAATTTTTCCAATATTTAACCTTGAATTAACATTCCCATTGCTTTCTTTGCCGCCTTTATATACCAAACGCTGTTGTCATATGGCAACGACCAATCAGAAAACACTACGTATTCAGTACATCGGTCATGGAATGTTGGAGAATACGAAGTCGATTGGTCCACGCAATATATTTTCAGTTTAATTTTTACAATCATTGAAGAATACATGGATTGACGCAGCGCATTGGCAAAGCAGAGCAACAACAATACAAAGTGACTTACAGCAGTGCGAAAAAAGACATGAAGAAAATCAAAAAACAAACAGAATTTCCCAATACTACGCAGCACAACAATTGCAGTAACTGATGGATACCAAAAGGCCAGTAACCCATTAGATGACACCAGTCCAACATAAACAACACGTCAGATAATAACAAACAAACAGACAACGAAGACATACATACGGAAGTCCAAGTTGCAGATTAATTTTTATTTGATACCACAACTAATCAAACACGTTCAAAACAAATTATGAATTTCTAAAACAAAGTGAATTCGTTTTGGAATTGGAATATTTAAAACAAAAAAGGAAGAAACAATGGCAACTCCAACAGTTTTTATTACGGTTCCAAAATATGTGGCTATTACGCCCATACCAGCGCCATCGTCAGTGGCTTCGGGAGCTACTATTGTAACTCCCATAACAACACCATCTTCATCATCATCAACAACTACAAACACCAGCACATTATTAGCCAAAATTAAACCAGCTCCAGCTCCACAACAAATCCATTCACCAGCAATTTCTACGGTTTCGGATAATGATTGTTGCAGTGATTCGAGTAGCACGGCCACCCCAAATCCACCCCGTGGCAAGAAACGCCGTTTGGATCATTTGACATGGGAGGAGAAAATTCAACGGAAGTAAGTGTTAATCGAAAAATAATACTAGACCCGCTGCGGAGCAGAGCAGAGATAATGAATGTGAAGTGATAAGGGAAAACAGAATTTATGGTCGGATGGAAAAAAGCTTTGCTTTGCTTGCCATTCTCTAACGAAAGTGTATTCGAATTAGTCATCATTAGACTAAAGAAGGAAAGCTTTTTTGTTCTTGCTGTATTAGGGTTTCTATGTAATTTTTTTAGCAATACACCTAAGCTGAATTGTAGTTTTCATATCTAAAACACAATTCAGCAATGCAAAATTGAAAAATTTCTATAGAAAATACAATTCAACACAGTTTAATTAATGATTTCTTATTGAAAACACATTTCAGCTAAGCTGAATTACAGATATCCTAATTCAGCTGGAATAAATTGATAATTTCATATGGAAAATTTAATTCAGCTAAGATAAATTGAAAATTTTATATCGAAAATTTAATTCAGCAAAGCTAATTTAAAGATTTTCTACAGAAAACACAACTCAGCTGAGCTGAATTGCAGGAATTACATAGAAATCATAATTCAGCTAAGCTGAATTGAAGTTTTTGATAAAAATACTAATTCAGTTGAGCTGAAGTGTGGTGATACTCAATGGAAATAACAATTCAGCCAGGCTGGATTAAAAATTTCGAATTGAAAACAGAATTCAGCTAGGCTGAATTGAAGAATTCCTTTAGAAAACTCAATGCAAGGACAAAATAATTAGGAAATTGGCAAAAAAATCCATTTTGAGGTTATGTCTGATCATGGGTCGGATTTAAGTTCTTTTACGATTTTTAATTTTTTAAATAAATTTTCACATAATTTCTTTGTCACTTAATATCTGTATAGAAAATTAGCAGACCAATCAACATAAAACCAGATTTTATACATAATCGATTTTAAGGTTATGTCCGATCATGGGTCGGATTTAAATTTTTAGAAGCTTTTAAGTACAATTTCTTTTAATTTCCTGATAATTTTTTATTTGTTTTGTGAAATTTGTAGGAAAATACAAAATTTATACCGATTTTGTTTAAAATCGATTTTAAGGTTATGACCGATCATGGGTCCAATTTCAGTTTTTTATTTTAGATTTTTAACACAATTTAATTTAATTTCTTTGCCACTTATTAAACATTCAAGCCTATTGGTATCCGATGGTCCTTGAAATATAGCCTATTAAGGGTCTCAAATTAATTTCCAACGATTTTGAATTCTCCAGGACCATTTCACAATTAAGGGTAGAACGAGGCCTGTTTCAAAATTTGTAGATTTTCGGATGAAGGATTTTCTCTTTTTCAACCCCTTTAAAAAATTATCTTTACAAAATTCTAATCAATCCCCGTTTTCTTCTTCTTCCTCTTTTGCAGAAAACTAAAAAATCGCGTTGCCGCGCAAACCTCACGCGATCGCAAAAAGGCCCGCATGGAAGAAATGGAAAGTGAAATCAAAGAATTAACGGCACGCACACAAATCCTCGTCAACAAATGTGAAAGTCTGCAGGCCATCAATGATTCCCTCCTGGAGAAAAATCAAAAACTTGATATGGAAGTTGAGACGCTTAGGCAACAATTACAAGATATACAAAACAAACAACAACAACAGCAGCAGCAACAACACAGCAACCTGATTAACACCTGTGCCGGCTGTAAGTCCTTATTAACTGGATCAGCAGTATCCAAAAATACTGACCCTCTGCAGCAGGGCTCACAACCCAAGGACTTTCAGTCGACACAGGAGCTAAACAGCAACAGCAATGTGTTGAAGCTCCAGCAACAGTTGAAAAAGAGCACAACCGTATCATCGCTGTGGCGGATAATAGCTCTTTGCCTACTCTACAAGATATGCTCCTACCCCCCGAATTCAGCGAAATCGTCGAAGGAACGCTCGATGATGCAGAATTTGATGCCGGCAAGCTGGAAGAACTTGCCGAAAGCCTGCTTGCCGATATCACAGCAGACCTGGAGGCAGGCGATCGAGCGGGCAATGCGTCTGTTGCCGAAATTACAGGCGGAACAGAGCGATTGCCTGGATCAGTGGTGGGGACCACAGCAGAATGCCTGGAATCCGGCGAACATACAGGCCAAAATGGCAGTGGCCTAAGTCGGAAGACAATTACAACATCTACACCCCTATATGTGACATCTCTGCAAACTGCTGGGGAATTGGGTTTAGAAAATAAATTAGAAAATGGAGCAGCTACTTCCTCCATTACAACACAAACATTAACAGCCATACAAGATGCTACAGCCACAAATAACAATAATAACAACAACACGAACATTACCCCCGACACTGTGTATGGTACCTATGATGCCAAAACCAATTCCATAACCGTTGTCATGGATGATGTGGCCGTACCGGTTAATGAGGTGGTGGAGGAAATCTATTGGGATGGTGGCAATACCAATAACGGCTCAGCTTCATCTTCAGCCGCTGCCGAGGATGATGATGTTGATATGATCTATACCTCAGCCTCACCCTCTGGCATTGCCTCACCCTCTCAAGTTTTTCTCAATGTCACCAGTTGTAGTGATGATGAAGCGACAACGGCGACTCACGACGATGATGGTGATGATGAGGATTTCAATTTTGATCCCATTGCCAAATTTTTGTGTCCCAAGCGGCCATTGGTCTCACCGCTGGCCAAATCGCCCGCTTCATCCTATCACTCGGCCACATCAGATCATGGTTATGAATCGATATTGGGTTCACCGCCCTCCTCGTCACACTATGAACCTCTGTCCGAGGATTTGCCAACAGAGTTTAGTGACTGGCCACCGGGTTTTAATGAATTATTTCCAACATTGATTTAAAGGCTCAATTTAAATCTCTCTCTCTCTTTTTAAGGCCTGGCAGGTCAGTCTGGCTGTCTTACATTTGTATCATACACAGTTTCCGAGTTTAATGTTTTAATTTTTTGTACAGTTATTTTTAAAAAAATAACAAAAAAATTGGCTTTAATATTTTTTAATTGTTAAAAACAATTTAATAGAGAATATTTTTTATATATAAAAATAATTAATTTTAATTTTTTTTTTTAATTTAAAAATTAAGAATTTCTATAGAATATTTTTTTTATATATAAAAATAATTATTTTAATTTTTTTTTTTAATTTTAAAATTAAGAATTTCTTAAGCTAAGCTGCAGTTTAGTTCTTTAAGGCTGTTAATGTTTAAGTTGTAATAGTTGTAGCTCTCTTCTTAGACCCCTAAGACTAAAAGATAATTATATTATAATTATTGTAAAAAATCATTTAGTTTTTAGTTTTCTATTTTCTAATTTATTTTCTAATTAAATTTAATATTAATGTATTAGTGTTAAATCTTTTGAGCAAAAAGTTGTATATTTTTTTAAATTCATATATTGTTGTTGTTTTTATTACAAGACAATTGTAATCTCAACAACAACAACAACATATATAATTTAAAAAAACAACTTTTTGTTTAAAAGATTTTCAATATAAGAATCTTCACTAATATAAATATATTTATAAAACATATGTGCCCCCCATTCCCCACCCATATTTTTGTGTTTTTGTAAAAAACTGAATACAGAGATTTGAAAAAAAATATATAAACAAATAATATTTTAAAACAAACAAAAAAATCTTTTTTTTTTGTGTTTTGTGAGATTGCCAACATTTTAAGGTTAGGTCCGATTTTAGTTTTTTTAAAGGCTTTAGAATACAAATACAAAATCGGCCCAAGAATAATAAAGCAGCAGGAGCCGATGGGTAACCAGCCGAACTATTCAAGACTGGTTGCCAGATGCTGGTCAGAAGCATGCACCAGATGATTAGTACAATTTGGCTAGAGGAATGCATGCCCAATGATTGGAACCTCAGCATCATGTGTCCCGTGCACCACAAAGAAGGAGACAAGACGATATGTGCCAACTATAGAGGAATAAGTCTCGTTCCCATCGCATATAAAGTGCTATCCAATGTGCTGTGTGAACGATTGAAGTCAATGGTCAATGACATTATTGGACCAATGCGGCTTAAGACCTTACAAATCCACCATTGACCAGATTTTCACTCTGCGCCAAATCCTGGAAAAAACCCACCAAAAAGCACATCGTCATATTCCATCTACTCATTGACTATAAAGCCGCATTCGACAGCCCCTTTCGTTCAGAGGTGATTAAAGCCAAGTCTGCGTTTGGCATTCCTGCAAAATTAATCACACAAGGTCAGCAGTTAAAGTAGGAAAGGACCTATCGGAGCCCTTCAATGCCGAACGAGGATTCAGACAAGGTGACAGTTTGTCGTGTGACCTTTTTAACATCCTGCTGGAAAAGGTCATACGAGAGGCAAAAGTGAACAGAAATGGCACTCTCCACACCAAACAACACATGTTACTCGCCTACGCCGATGACATCGATATAATGGGTCGAACATTGCGAGCGGTAACATCCACCTTTGAACAAAAGGAGTCTGCCAAAGTGGGTCTGGCAGTAAACGGCGAGAAGACCAAGCTGATGGTAACAACGCGCAACCCGTCCAGTAGACTCGGACCAATTGTGGAACTTGAGAACTGCAGCTTCGTGGTAGTAAAAGATTTTTATATACCTTGGTACCGCCATAAATAAATGATGGTTAAGGTTATGTCCGATTTTTTTTAAAGCCTTTTGAATACAAATACAATTAATTTCTTGGTCGTTAAATAGCTGTTGTAAAAAAAACGAGTAGGGAAATAAGAAACTATTGCAGATTTTGGTTAAAAATCTATTTTGAGGTTGTGTCAGATTTCCAAAAAAAAAAAAAAGTTTTAGTTTTTTTAAAGCCTTTGGAATACAAATTCATTTAATTTCATGGTCATTTAATAGCTATTGTAAAAATGAGTATAGAAATATGAAATTATTGCAGATTTTGGTTAAAAATCTAATTGGAGGTTATGTCAGATTTCCCAAAAAAAAAAAAAAAAAACATTTTAAGATTAGTTTTTTTTTAAACCTTTTGATACAAATTCATTTAATATTTTGGTCATTTAATGGCGTTTGTAAAAAACCGGTAGATAAATATGAAATTATAAAAGATTTTGGTTAAAAATTCAATTTGAGGTTATGTCAGATTTCCAAAAAAAATATATATAGTATGGTCACTTTTAATACTTAATTGTGCTGTAATTTCGTTCTCGGAAATTAAAACTCACATTCTGCCCTTTTATCTACAATTTTGAGATTTGCAAATTTTTTGAGGTTATGTTCGATTCAAGTTTTTGTTTTAGTTTTTAACTTTCATTTCATTTCTTTATTTTTTTATATTTGTACATTCAATTTCATTTAATTTATTTGCAATTTATTATTTTTGTTTACTGAAATTCGTAGAAAAATACAAATTTTGGTTCAAGTCAATTTTGAGGTTATGTCCGTTCATGGGTCCGATTTAAGTGTTGTTTTTTTCTTTTTTCAATCTTTAAAATAAAAATTCATTTAATTTCTTTGGCATTCATTATTTTTTTAGTGCAATTCCTAGAAAAAATACAAATTTTATACCGATTTTAGTTTAAGTCAATTTTGAGGTTATGGCCGTTCATGGGTCCAATTTCAATAATTGTTTCTTTTTAAATCTTTTAATAAAAATTCATTTAATTTCTCAGCCATTTATTATTTTTTTAGTGCAATTCCTAGAAAAAATACAAATTTTATACAGATTTTAGTTCAAGTCAATTTTGAGGTTATGTCCGTTTATGGGTCCGATTTAAATCGATTTTTCTTTTTAAATCTTTAAAATAAAAAAAATTCATTTAATTTCATAGTCATATATTATTTGTTAGTGAAATTAGTAGAAAAAAAAAACAAGATATATACCGATTTTATTTGAAATCAATTTTAAGTTTATGTCGGTTCGGTGGTCTGATTTTAGTTTTTTTTTGTTAAGATTTTAATTACATGTTCATTTAATTTATTTGTCACCTAAAAAATAAATTAGTCTATATTGTGGCTAAACTCCACTTTGAGGTTATGTCCGTTTGTGGGTCAGGTTTAATTTTTTACAGTTATTTTTTTTAATTTTCAGAAAAATTAGCAGGAAAAACGACATTTTTTTTATTTATTTAATTTTTTTAATAAAAATGTTAATTTTTTTTAATAACAATTTTAATTTTTTTAATAAAAATTTAAAATTTTTGAAAATTTTAATTTTTTCAAAAAATTTTTTATGTTTTTTAATAAAAATGTTAATTTTTTTAATAAAATTTAATTTTTTTTTTTTTTTTTGAAAATTTTAATTTTTTTAATAAAAATTTATTTTTTTTATCAAAAATTTTAGTTTTTTTATTTTTTTTAATTGGTAATAAAAAAATATTTTTTTATTTATTTATACATAATTGATAATAATTATACAATACACATAATTTCTAATATTTAATTTTGTTGCATCATTTCATGCAACCTCTGTTTGTCCTTGTTACGGTGTACACATTTAATTTCAAATAAAATTTACATCAGCCAAATATCGTTTGGGTTAAAAATATAGCTGTGAGTGTTGTACATGAATGCATGATTGGTTGGTGGGTCGGTTGGTTGGTAGGTAGATATGACTGACGTGGCCTTTTGGTTAATGGTGTCGTTTGGAATATACAAAAAGAAAGGAAAAGACCGTCACACATAGTTGACGATTAGTCACAGAGACATTTACAACACATTTTTAGAAGTCGATTGCTAGGTATAAAATAAAAAAACTCATGGATTTTTATTGGTCAAAGTCGAAAAAGGAATATGAAAAATATTGTTTTTTTTTCAATTTTTTTTTAAAAAAAAAATAGGGATTTTTTTTTTTACAAATTTTATTTTTTAAATATTTTTTTTAATTTTTTAAAGTTTTTAATAAAAAATCAATTTAAAAAAAATTTTTTTTCAAATAAAAGATTTCAATTTTTTTAATTTTGTTCATTTTATAAACAAATTTTTAAATTAATTTTTTTTTATCAAAGATTTATTCCCCTTTTAAAAATTCCCCTTAGAATTAAAAAACCACACATGTTTTTTTTTTTTTTTTTTTTTTTTTTTTTAAAAAAAATTAGCATCTAAAAAAGTGTTTTTAAAAAAAAATATAAGCCCTGGGGTGTTTTAAAAGTGGGATGTGTTTTTTTAAGGGGTTAAAAAAATTTTTTTTTTAAAAAAAAAAGAATTTTTTTTGTATCAATAAATTATTTACAAAATACATATTATTATTATTATGACAAAAATATAAAGTAAAATAGTAAACTATATATATAATATATGCTATTATAGAAGGGCTAAAAGATAATTATAACTAAACTACTAAAAAAAGGAAATAAAATTGAGAGTTGATTGTTTTCATTTCTTGTTGGTAGACCAGATAGATGTGTAGACTTAAAAAATAAATTTGTCAAATTATATTTATGGCTACGCTTTTTTAAAAAAGGGATAAAATTCCTTTTTTTAAAAAAATATTTTTGTTAAAAAAATATTTTTATTTAAAAAAATATTTGTTTTAATGTTGTTAAAAAAAATCAAGGTGGGGTCACAAACTTAGTGCTATTAAAAAAATAAGATTTAATTTATATAATTTTATTATAGTCAATTGTTTAAAATATTTATATAATATCAACATATTAAAATTGAGTTTTTGTTTGTTTTGAATTTTCAATAAGCTTTGGGGGCTAAGCTTTTGAGCAATTTTTGTTTTTTTATTTTTTTTTTAATTTTTAATGAATGTTGTATTTACAAGTAAATTGTGTGTAAAATTAGAATTTTGAATCGAGGCGAGTTTTTTGACAAATTTGAAATAATCTTCAAAAGCAGTTTGTAAAAAATTCAATAAATTAAAAAAAATATATTTTTTGAATAAAATTAAAAAAATGCAAAAAAATTCAATTACAAAATTAAAATAATAATCTAAAATATTACAAACTTATTTTCATAATCTTTAAAAATTTTAATTAATTTTTTCAATTATTTTTTTTTTAATTATTTTTTCAATTTTCATAAAAAATATTAAAATTTTCTAACTTTTTTTAAAATATTGATTTTTTTATAAATTTTTTTCAAATATTGAGAATTAAAAAAAAAATAAATTTTTAAAAAGAAAATATTGAAAATTAAAAACAAATTTTTAAAAACAAAAATCATCTAAAATCGTTTTTTAAATTTTTTTAATTTTTAAAATTTTGTCTTAATTTAAAAAAAAAAAATTAAAAACAAAACATTGAAAATTAAAACAAAAAATATTTTTTTAAACAAAATATTGAAAATTAAAACCAAAAATAAATTTTTAAAAACAAAATAATGAAAATTAAAAATAATTTTTAATTAGAATGTTTTTTTTAATGTTTTTAATTTTTTTTAAATGTTTTTAATTTTCAATACATAATTTTGATATGAAATTATTTTTAATTGTTAAATATCATTTTTTAATTTTCAAAATTATGTTGATTTTTTTTTTAATATTTTGCTTAATTTTCAAATAACTCTTTTTTAATTTTAAAAATTATAAAAGAAAAAAAAACTAAATATTGAAAATTAAAAACAAAAATAAATTTTTAAAATCAAAAATCATCTGAAATCGTTTTTAATTTTTTAATCAAAATTTTGTCTTAATTAAAAAATAATTAAAAAAAAAAAAACAAAATATAGAAAATTAAAACAAAAAATATTTTTTTTTAAAGCAAAATATTGAAAATTAAAAAAAAATATTTTTTTTTAAAAAACAAAATATTAAACAAATTAAAAATTAATATTTAATAAAAATCATGTAAATTTGTATTTATTTATTTATTTTTTTTGTAATTTTTAGGAAAATATTTTTAATTGTCAAATAATTTTTTTTTTAATTTTCAAAATTATTTCTTTGCATTTTTTTCAAATTAAAAAAAATGTTTTTGCCTCATAATCATCATTCCAAAATTGATTTAATTTTTAAAATTTAAAAAAATATATATTTTTTTAAAAAAATTCTTATTAGAAAAACTAACAATGAAAAAGGTTAGTAGTTCAGATTCAAAATTCTGCCAAAAATTAAAAAAAAAATTCAACATCCCTGTATAAAATTTTGAAAACTAAAAAAAAACCCCACCCTCCTATTTTCTTCATAGAAGAAGAATTTGGGGGTTTTTAAAATATTTTCGGTATTAAATAGTTACGTGCTATACTACGATAACGTACCCACGACGAATGATAACGTGCCGAATTGCGTGCATTAACACGGAAACAACGATGAATGAGAATGGCCACAATCAAGAGTAAACTAATCAATGGTGGCCACACAAAGTCCACGGCCAGGGGAAGAGCCAATGCCACCAAACATAAAATATCACCCAAATAATTGGGTTGACGTATACGACCCCACAGGGAACCCAATAGCAAACGTCTTCCCTGGAAGGTATGTATGGTTTCGATGTTCGCAAAATGTGGATGATTCGGTTGGACACGATATTTATATTTAATCGCATTGCTAAAGCGTTTCAAAGATAAACCAACTAACAGCAGCAGGATGGGTATATAAATGGCAAATTGACATTTCAAGGGTGTACGATGTTCGGCAAAATATTTTGCCACTGAAGTCCATAACAGAGGAGTGGCAGCATAACGTAGAAGCAGTAGGCAACCAAATCCTTCACCTTGCATTTCAAACGACGAAGCCAAATGATGTTCAAAGAGTATGTTATCCAAAACATAGAACAATAGCAGGCCACTACACAGCAGGGAAGTGGTATCGAATTTTAAGTTTTTCACAAAATATGAAATCACCTCCGGCACACCTTCCACTTCCTTGGGTAACCAGGGGGTTTGGATATTCTTGTACAGCAGTGATACCACATAGAGGTAAGTGCTCAACAATGAAACACGATAGAATACCAATTTAAAATCGACCAATCCCAACCATTTGGGATTGAGTTGTTTACCCAAGGCATAGTCAATCAAGAAATTACCGGATTTGGCATAGATGTTACATTGGGAATCTTGCTGCTTCAACAAATCCGAACGGTAATAGGCCCACAAAGCCAATACATAGGCATTCAATAGGCCGTAAATGCCAAAACGTTGGAAATTCTTGATAATAAAATCGGCCACTGGATATTGCAAATATATGGCCACAGCATAGGCCACGGAGAGGACAGCAGTCATGGGCAGTAGATTAAATTTATATTCTATAGAACCCGGTAAACGCACTCCACGGCCAAATAATACAGCTGATAATATGAATACACCAAAATTGAAGGCCAAAAACACACCCACTGCTTCGAGATCGAAAATGTTTGATAACCAACTATTTGTATCCAATAGGGCATTATAGTTCGGTATTTTAAATTCACATTTACGATCACTGCAAGTCCATTGTAAATAATAGACCACAAGGGGCGCGAATACCATTAACAAAGTAACGCCCAACCAACCACCAAATTCACTGGGTATTGGTAATTTGCGGCAAAATGCCGAACTGCTGGTCTTGGCATTGTTGGCATTAAAACTTTTGAAATTTCTCTCCTCCTCCGGCACATCTTCATAATAACCTCCAGCAGCACCTTCATCTTCTTCATGGATGACATCGTCACGTTCATTTGTTTCCTCTGTATCGGAAAATTCCGCCGCCTTTGAATAACGTCCACCACCACCTTCACCATCATAAACGGAACGTGACACCGAACGGCTGTAACGACTTTCGCCATCTGTACGCTGGCTGGGTGTATATGAACCCTCACGTCTCTCATCTCCGCCAGCACCACCCAAAGAGAATGTCTTCGATACGGATCGTCGTAAATAATCTGTCAGCTTGGCTATATCCGATGATTGTTCACCACTGGAGGTACGTATCTCAACGGTTTGTATAGTTGTCGAACTTTGATAGGTACTTTGTACCGATGATGTTGTTGTTGTCGTTGCACGATTTGGAGCCTTTGTTGCAGTATTTGTGGTTAGTGTTGCAGGCAAATTGGTATGGGATAGGTTTGCCTGAAACAAAGAAGTATCAAGATGTTAGTATTAGGGATTTTAAATCGGGGAGAAAAGATAATGATAATAAAAATAAAAAAAGATGGACTAATAGTTCTTCGAATATAGAAGGTCCTTTAGAAGAAACATCTACATAAAGAAGAGCCTATATAGGGGGAATTGAAGTTGAGAAGGCCTTTTGGAAGAGATTTGAATATTTACAATATCTTTCAAAAAGATTTTCTAATTAAGGGAGCTTTTTAGAAGAATTATCCAAAAATATAGAGATTTCTTCGAATACAGAAGTCCCCCAGAAGGAGCATAAAAACAAAGAGCCTATATAGGGGATTTTTTTATTCGAGAAAACTCTTTGGAAGCGATTTGAATATTTAGAAGGTCCTTCAAAAAGATTTTCCAAAAAAAATATAGACCTTCTAAAAGGACGCTCTAAATATAGAATACCTCGAATATAGAAGGTCCTTTAGGATCATCTAGATAAAGAAGATCCTTCATAGGGTGATTTTATGTGGAGAAGGCCTCTCTTGGAGCTTTATATGTTTAGAATATCCTAAAAAGGGGTTCCTATCATAGAAGCCCCTTTAAAGAAACCCCTAGATGAGTGCATTACCTAAATTAGAAAATGCCTTAAAAGAGGGATTTCATATTTAGAAGGCCTTTCCAAACGAATATTTGTATTTAGTACACTCTTGTAAAGGTTCGACGACAGTTAGAAGCCCATTTAAATGGTTTCATTCTGTGGTGGAAATTTTAAAAGATCTTCTGTTGATAGAAGAGTCCTTAGGTGGGACTTCTGTATATTGAAAGGACTTCTGGAAAGGGACTTCGATATTTATAAGGCCCTTTTTGGTCCAAAATATATATTAAAAACTTTCTAGAATGGTCTTCTAATAACAGAAGGCTTTCTATAGATGGCTATTATAAATTTGATGGACATTTTTAATTACCTCCGACATTTGAAAGGATGTCCCGTAGATAAAAGAGCCTTTAGCGGAGACTTCTAAATTGAGAAGGCCTCTGTAAAGAGACTTCGATATTTATAAGGACCTTTTGGAGGGTCTTCAATCAACAGAAGACTTTCTTGGGGGTTCTTCTATTCCATTCTATTAGCAGAAATCCTTCTAGACGCCTCTAAAATAGCCTTCGATATTTACAAGACCTCTCCAGCAAGTCTTCTATCAACAGAAGATTTTCTTGAAGGTTCTTCTATTCTATTTGCACAAATCCTTCTATAACCCTCTAAAATAACCTTCGATATTTACAAGATCTCTCTAGCAAGCCTTCCTTTGAAAGAAGAACCCTTAAAGGGGACTTCTGTGTTGAGAAACCCGCTGTAAAGGGTCTTAGATAGACCCTTCTGAAGGGTCTTCTATTAACAGAAGACATCTAAAAGTATCTCCGATATTTAAAAGACCTCTCTAAATCGTCATCGATATTTATAGAACTTTTCTACAAGGTATTCGGTTAATAGAAGAACCTTTAGAGGTGACCTCGATATTGAGAAGACCTCTGTTAAACCCCCCATATGAATAGAAGACTTTCTAAAGGGACATTTTTAATATTGAAGGCCATTTTGGAGGCCTTCTAAATGTCGAAAGCCTTTTCAAGACAGCCCTCAATATTTAGACGATTCCATCCTCATAAATCCCATTTCGAACTAATTCAAAAAATATCCACCTTTCACAAGTTTCACACTTTCTCCCAGTGTGTTTGTTGTTGATGTTGTTATCTTGGCTAGGTCACAAAGTAAACAAACAGATAAACCTCAATAATATATAAATAACAATATAGAACAACAAGAACAACGGCAACAACAAGATTTAAAACAACACGCATACACATGTTTCTGTTTCTTAAAATCACACCCGGCAATTGTTTTTGTAAATCCAAGAAGCTTATCATTATCAAGTGTTTGAAAAAAATGCGGTCATATACACATGTGCGTATGTCGATCTTCGATACCTTAAGAGAAAAAAAAATCGCACAATGACCTCCATCCCTGACCCCTTTTCGCCACTGAGATGCGAAAAAAATCAAACTTGTTTCTAAACATTGCCATTTTTTAGAGTGCTAAGAATCTGCGGTTCTGCAATATTCTATAACTCACCTCCTTTTCCTTGACAGCTTCTTTTTCGCTACGGGCTTCCACCGTAACGGGTATAACAGTTACAGTGGGTATTGTTGAACGTGGCCTAGATGAACGGGCTGGAGAGGTACGTGTACGTCTGACCGGTGATGTGCGTGTTACACGTGAAGGTGATGTTCGGGTTACTCTTCTATTCGCGGTAATATCTGTCAAGGCTTCTGTACTGGCAGCCGTCTTACGGCGGCCTCCCACTGTGGAAGCGGATGATGCTTGTGCAGCTGTCGTCGTCGCAGCTGATGATGATGCTGCTGCAGTGGCCCTCGATGGTCTGGTAGATGATATGGGAGCTGTTGTTTCAGACGCCTTAGGTCCTCGTCCTCGTGTTAAACGTCGCGGCACATCCATTTTTAATAATAATTTTGCATACAACTGTTCACGATATTTTCAATATTTTCACTTCCTTTTGCTTCTAACTTTCTCTCTATGTTATCTATAAATAAATGGAAATTATTTTTAGTTTTGTGGCCAATAAAAATTGTATGTTATTTGCGGATAAAAACTCGTTGTTGTCGGCATACAGACTTGTTCTTGCCTGCCTGCCTATGCCTTCCTCTTGTGTATTTATGATTGTTTTTCCCGCCCAACACACACAGACTGTACCATCCTCATCTCACACCACTTTACAATTTGCCGTTTAATCGCTCTTTCTCGTAATATAACAATTTAAACTCACTTCTAATTTATTTATTTGTCTTCCATACACATAATCTGATATGTTTATATATTTATAATGTTATTGTTATCAATATTTATTTATTTTTTTAATTATTCGCACTGAGAGAATTTGATTTGATTCTCCAAGCGACGCTGTACGCTGTGTTTTGTCAATGCCTGATGCCAAACGAAGCGGCGACAGCAATTTACACCATGGCGTCTCTTTTTCACCAACTGCAGACAAATTGAAAAACGTTCCAGCTGCTTAACGAATGGTGGGGAGAAGACAAAATGTCCGATAATGAAGAACTCAAAGTGGTATAAACGAAAATTTACGAATGAAGTGGAATGGAGACTAAATGAAAACCGTATTGTTACGAATGAAGTGGGATGGTGATTAAATGAGAACCGAGTCATACTGAATGTGTAACGGCGTTCAAATTATATTTAATATAGGGAATACATTTCTATTTACATTTATTTTAATGATTTTCCTAACATGATATAAGTGTTGTAAGTCATTTATTAGCCACATTTGTTTAGGACTGATAAGATAAATTAAGTTTAAGTTTCTCTTGTAAAGCGACACTGTGTTTTGTCAATGTCAAGCGGTGACAGTGATTCACGTACACCATAAATGTTGACGTATGTGTCTGCCATGGCAATGCTATTTTTAAGAAAATTATTATTTTTTTACGTTTTGTAAGGAAAAATATAAAGGAAAAACATCAAATTAAACTAATTTTTATTATTGAAAAATTATATGAAAAATGTATTAAAAAACTTAACCAATTAAATCGTTCATAACCTCAAAATGGAAGCCATTATCAAAATGTAGATCAATAGGATTACAAATGTCCATGTGTAACCTGAAGATTCAAAATACAGCAAAATTTAGTAATACATTTTTTTTTGAAATATAACATAACCTCAAAATGGTTGTTATAACAATATATTGTTGCCACAAGATGTGTTTAATCATTCCAAAACTAAAATATAAAATTAGATCAAAAGGGTAGATGTTTTCAACAAGAAGGGTTTTTTAGCCGGAATTATTGGTTGCTGTCACTTTTGAATCATACATTCATTGAAATTTCCAAGTATAAACTTCTCGAATTCGAAAAAATTAACAATATATGCTTCAACAAAATTTATTGAAAAATTGATGAAGCATTTTCTCTCACCGAAACACAAAATTTATGCTAAATGGTGTGAAAAAAAATAAAATTTGCTCAGAATATATTTTAGCTATTATCTGCTCACAAATGTCATTTGAAAAATCCATATCAGATATGATAACATTTCACCTCTCACATTTGAACGAATTTTGTATCATAACAAATGGTGTTAATCTTTGCTAAAATTTACTATAAAATTCAATAAAAACCAAATAAAATATAGTCAAATGTCGATTTATAGATTCCTATTATAAAGCATTGCTATAAACGTCAAATGAAAGCGCATCTAATAAAATAAGAGCCAGCCAAACAATAAATAACAGTAAATATAATGTTATTATAGCATATGGTGTTAATCTTTGCTACAATGCCATAAAAAATTCAATAAAACCAATTTAATATGGAATAGGCAAAAATCGATCTACGGATCCCTATTATAACGTTTTTCTATGAACGTCAAATGAAAGCGCTGAGATAAGAGCCAGGCAAACAATACAAAACAGTAAATATAATTTTATTATAGGAAATGGTGTTAATCTTTGCTAAAATGTTTTATAAAATTCAATAAAAATCAATCAAATATAAAAATAGCCAAAAAATCGATCTACAGATCCCTAGTATAACGCTTTTCTGTGAACGTCAAATGAAAGCGCCGCGCTATTGTGTTGTGAGCACAAATGAGATGAGAGCCGGCCAACCGAAAAACCAACGCCGTTAGCAAAACACCAAATGACAGCTGCTGCATTGTTGAAAAATTCTGTCGCTAACATTTTTTATGTAAAAAATAAGAATAATAGATATAGTAATAATTGCTAATAAAGTGACAGAATGTAAGTAGAAAGAAAACAAGAAGAAAAAAACAAAATTAAATTAATAAATTATCCCAGCAAAATTTGACGTAACAATATTTGCGGAAAATTCATCAAAATTCTTTTTCGAGTTCTATAACATCTCTTTCTCTGACTTTTGTCTGTCTTTTTTCGTTTATTTTTGGCACCGAACTAATACGGTCAACGGAACTCCAAACCGTGCCTCCATTTGTGGTTTTTCTCCTTATAAAAATATAAAAACAACAACGTACATACACGCATCGTACAAATAAACACCTCTACAAACAATCATCATCCTACATACATATATTGTGCGTATAATAATGTGTGTATTGGTATTTATTAAATCAAAATCATCATCATGACCATCCGTCCTGTTTAGAAGAAACAAATAACAAGAAGAAGGAAGGAGACATAGAACAAAGCCAAACAAAAAACGACAGGCAGCAGCAGGGCCGCACACTGAAATTGTTTTATAACCAAAGAATTGCACAGACACACACACAAACACCCATAGAAAAAACCCAGCTCGAAATAACAAAAGAACAATAACAAAACAACAACAGCAATGGTAACACCCCAATCACCTACTCGCATGTTCAATGGCCTGGACGATGACATCTACAGTGAATATGCCCATGAAATAACCGATAAAATGCGTGTACCCAAACGTATTAAGGCCACCGGTGAATATTCTGACGAGGATCGTTTATTATCCAATCAAAATGGTATGATCAACTCATGGAATTATCATGATAAAATCGATATGAATGTCCCCGATCGTATTGTTGTTTTGGGTCATAATCAACATTTGGAAACAAGATCAGCACCGCGTGAAATCCAGTTGGAAAATGAAATACTACCCAAAACGACATCAGATTTTGTACGTGTCCAAACGCCACCACGCACTATAACCCTTAATGAACATCATTTTCCATCGGCCTCTGAGGAAAGTTCACCCAAAAAATTGCTAAACGGTGATGACCTGGATGTGGATGGTGATGATTTTGATGACGACGTTGAACGTCCACCGCCGTATGTGAGGGCAAATGGTATATCACATGCTGTTGTGGGTTTTCATCCGAATGATTCGAATTCTGTGGAATCCGATTCACAGGTAAGTTTATTTTATTTTTTTTATTTTATTGGAATTTTTTGGCTTACTGATTTCATACTTCCTGAATTGGGCATTACATGTGACCCAAATAATGCCACTAATCGCCAAGTATTAAAAAAAAGAAATTGATAAGCAAAAAAACACTGTTTCTTGTTTTTAGTTGTTAACTAATGTTTTTTATTAGTGTTTTAGATAAGAGCATTGATTTTGGGTAGTAGCTGATTAGGAATTAGAAGTTCCTCGCATACAATTTATAGTTGCTTGTAAAGCTTGGGTGTGGGACATTGCCAATATTTTATGGAAAAAACCTTCCTGCAGAAAATATGGAATCTCTAAGGTCTTTATCGGATAGAATACCAAAATCTTGATAGAATTATAAGAAACCTCTCAAGAGTCCTCCATACATAGAAGAACCGTTTTTGAAAACATTCCATGGTGCCTTATATATCTAGAAGACAACTCCAAAGCGTTTGCTATATCTCCTCCTCCTAAAGGATCTTATGTTGTTACATAAACGCTCTCAAAAGGCTCTTTTATATAAGGGGGCCTTAAAGGTCCTGCAATAAATAGAAGGCCCCTTTAATGTGTTTTAAATAGTCGGAATACCCATTAAACGTTCTTTTTAAGAGGTCTTCTGTATTTTTACACCCTTCGAAGGGTCTTTTTAAATATAGAAGAGTCTTTAAAATTACTTTTTAATTAACAATATCCCTCTAAGAGGTCTTGTACACTTAGTAGACTTTCAAAAAAAAACCTCTCGGGCCTATCAAGGCCCTAGAGGGTGAGACGAGCCTGTAAAGGGGCGACTATAATATTTAGACCCTTCTAACAGGGACTTCTGTTCTTTTAAGACCCCTTCAAAGGGCCATTTATGGTTAAAAGACCCCATCCAAAAGTTTCGCAACAAAAAAATGAGACTTAATTTTTCAAATTGGTCGGAATTTGTATAACAAAATTAAGGCCCAAATTGTTTTTTTGTACACTTCATCCATTACTTACTCGCCGATCCAAAAAATACTAAAATTTTTGGAAAATTTTTAATTTAATTTTTAAATTTCTAAAATTGTTCGGAAATTTAATACCAAAAATTTTTACTAATATTAATTTTTTAATACAATATTCTTCAATACCTCTACCTCTGATTCAAATTGAAATAAAATTGTTAAAAATGTTGCCTTAAATTACCAAAATTTTTAAATTGGTCGGAATTTGTATACCAAAATTTTAATTAAAACCGAGTTTTTTGGATACTACATCCGTTACTATACTCAACGATTTGAATAAGACTAAAATTTTTGGAAACATGTTCACTTAATTTTTTTAAATTTTTACAATTGGTCGAAAATGTTATTCCAAAATCTATAGCAATATTGAATTATTTTTTGATACTACATCCATTACTATACTCTCTGATCAAAAGTAGATTAAAATTTGGCAGAAATTTTGACTTAAATTAACAATTTTCTAAAATTGGTCGGAAATTTTATACCAAACTCTGAAGCAATATTGAATTATTTTTCATACTACATACTTTTTGATACAATTTTTGGAAAGTTTTTCACTTAATTTTTTTTAAATTTCTAAAATTGGTCGAAAATTTTATAGCAAAATTTTAACTAATATTCATTTTTTTATACAACATTCTTTAATATACGCTCCCCCGCTCTGATCCATATTGAAATAAAATTAATAAATAAAATTGGGACTTAAATTTCAAAAATTCTGAAATTGATCGGATTTTTTTTTACCAAAATTTAAATCAAAACTGAGTATTTCGTATAGTACATTCATTACTCTATACCCTCCGATCCAAATTAGACTACAATTTTTGGTAAATTTGTCACTTAGTTTTTAAATTTTCTAAATTTGGTCGGAAATTTTATACCAAAAATTAAATTAATATTCATTGTTTTTAAAAATATCTTTTAATATACATAGAGATCCAATTTAGATTAACATTTTTTTTTTGAAATTTTTCATTTCAATATTAAATTTTTTAAAATTGATCGAAAATTTTAACCTAAAAAAACAATAGTGATTAAACTCGCCACAAAATCCATTTATATTAATGTTTTATTCAAACTGGAATAACATTTTTAGAGAAATGTGACATAAATTTCAAAATTCAAAAATTGGTCGGATTTTTTTACCAACATTTAATCCAAAACTGAGTTTTTTGTACACTCCGATCCAAATTAGACTACAATTTTTGGGAAATTTTTTTATGTACTTTTTAAAATTTGTAAAATTGGTCGGAAATTTTATAACAAAATCTAAACCAAATGAATGAATTATTTTTGATACTACAACCTTAACTATACTCTCTGATCCAAATTAGACTATTTTTTCGCAAAAATTTTGATTTACTTTTCAGATTTTCTAAAATTGGTCGAAAATTGTGTACCAAAATTTAAACCATTATAGATGTATTTTTTTGTGTGATCCAATTTAAACAAAAGTTTCCGAAACATTGTTCGCTTAAATTTCAACATTTTCCAAATTGGTCGGAAATTAGTATACCAAAATATTAATTTTTTTACACATTTTTAAACGGTATATACATTAGAACTTTTTACCGGGTTAACCTATTTTATGAGGATTTATTTGACATATATGCGAAGGAATTGACATTTGAAACCCACTGGGTTAACGAAATCCGGTTAAATGTAAACGTACTATTAAAGTACTTTTGTATTTAGAATTTAGTTGCCATAATTTTTGTTTTGCTTTTAATTTCATTTTTTTTTTTTTGCCCCTTAATTTTTTTTTTCATATCAATTTTTTGATAGTTTGCCAGATTTTTTGCCACATTTTTTTTATTTTGTAATTTTTTCATTTGCCCCACAATATTTGTTGCTCTGCTCAATTTTTACAAGAAGTGCATATATATTTTGTTATTAATAGTTTAATTAAAAAGAAAATGGTGCCCAAACATTTAACGGTATTCCAAAAATCCATTTCTCTCTCTCTCTCTCTTTAAAAACTATTATCATTTTGTTTTTCTCTCTCTTTCTTACAGCTGACAACAGGTGGCGCCAGCAAACGTTCACAAACGGCCCTCTACAATCCCAATGATACTTCCATGATTAGCCATCGTGATGGCACCCCAATTGGCGATTTAACACCCCACGAGGAGATTCTGTATTTGAGACGTCAATTGGCCAAATTAAATCGCCGCGTATTGAACATAGAAATAAGCAACGAACAACGTTTACAACGGGAGAAGATTGTCTATTGCCTGGGGCTGGCCTATTTTGTACTTAAGGCTATTATGTGGATAAATCGTAATTAAGAGTTTTAAATAAAAAAATACGAAACATGAAAATACAAAATTTGAAAAAAAGAAGAGAACATTTAAGGTTAAGAGAAAAAAAATAATGAAAGAGGTGCTCTGGTCCAGGCCACCTTTTTTTGTCGGAAAAAAGAACGGAACGGAAATTTTCAACAATGGCAATGAGGATGTGTAGTATATATATATGTGGTCAGTTTAGTCAATATGCAAAAAGGTGCCGGTGCCTGTGAGACTTTATTTAACAATCTCTTATACTATATAACTTATAACAACAAAAACAACAAACAACCAAACTTATACCAATATCTAGTTGCACCCCACTCTTTGGCTGAATGATTGGAAAACAAAAAATTACAGAAATACATACATCAATTGCATTGTGGTCGTTCATACATACATACTATATATAGAAAGAAGAATCACATTTATTATTATTACAATTTAAAATACACTCAGAGAAAAAAGTGTGTGCATGTTGTTATATGATTATTATTATAATTAAAAAAACCAAAACAAAAATAATAATTTTTAATTGTTTGCATTTTTTTCATTTATTTATTAATGAGTGAGACAGACAAGGATAATTTTTTTTGGAAAACCAAATTAAAAAAAAAAAAAATTGGAACATTTTTGTAAAAAAAATTGTTTTAAAAAATATTCTGTTAAAAAAAATAAATAAAATGTTTTAGTATTAGTTTGCAAGTCATAAAGAAAAAAATTCAATATTTTTTGTTCTTAGGAAAAAAAGGCCCTTAAGAAAAATGTAAAATTTTTTTATAGCCATCCCCTCACAAAAAATAAAATAATCCTTCCTCGTTCTATATCGAATTATAATTTATTATTATTATTTTTTTTCAATTCTTAAATAATTTATTTAATTTTTTTGTCGGCCCCTATAATTTTTTAATTATTTTTAATTAGTTTGCTTTTCATTCTGCCTGCCATCCAGCAAACATTTACCATGAATCTAATTTGAATTTTGTAAAAAATATATATTTTTTAAATCAATAATTATTAATTTTATTTACACCAAAACAGATTTTAATAGTGTTTAGTTTAAAAACAAAATGAAAACCACAACAAATTATGAAATTTCTTATTATTATTCTATACTTTACTAAGGAACCTTTGTAAATTAATTAAAAAAAAAAACAAAAAGTAATTAACAAAATAATTATTTTGTCCAAAAACAACAACAACAAACCCAAACAGAAAATGGAACAAAAAGAAAACATCCACAAAATAGAACCACCATTAAAATAATTAAAAAAAATACAACAAAAAAATATGTTTTTATTTTTTGATGGGGGGAAACCAAGGGAAATTGGTCGGTTTTTTTTTTTTGCTGGAATAAAATTTTCGACCAATATTAGGTATTTAAAAATTTTTTTGATGGGGGGAAACCAAGGGAAATTGGTCGGATTTTTTTTTTTGGCTGGAAAAAAATTTTCGACCAAATTTAGGTATTTAAAAAATTAAATTGAAAAATTTCCAAAAAATTTACTCTTATTTTGATTTAAATTTTGGTAGAAAAAATTCCGACCAATTTTTTGAAAAATATTGCTGAACAATTTTATTTATTTAAAAAATTAAGTGGAAAAATTTCCAAAAATTCCAGACTTCTTTTGGTATAAAAATTCCGACCAATTTCACAAATTTGGAAATTTAAGTCACATTTTTCTACAAATTTATTTACCAATTTGGATCCGAGAGAGAGAGAAAGAGAACGTATATTAATGAATGTATTATTGGAAAAAATGAATATTCGTTAAAATTTTAGCATAAAATTTCCGAACAATTTAAGAAATTTGGAATTTGAAGTGAACATTTTTGTCAAAATCTTAGTCTACTTTTGATCAGAGAGTATAGTAATGGATGTAGTATCAAAAATAATTCAATATTGCTATAGATTTTGATTTAAATTTTTCGACCAATTTTAGAAATTTAAAAAAAAAATTAAGTGAAAATTTTTCCAAAAATGTTAGTCTTATTTAAATCGGAGAGTATAGAAACGGATGTAGTATACAAAAAAAATCCGTTTTGATTAAAATTTTGGTATAAAAAATTTCGACCAATTGCAGAGTTTTTTTGAAATTAAGCCACATTTTTCTACAAATTTATATACTAATTTGGATAAGAGAGAGAGAGAGAGAAAGAGAACGTATGTATATTAAAGGATGTAGTATTAAAAAAATGTATATTAGTTAAAATTTTAGCATAAAATTTTCGACCAATTTTAGAAATTTGTAAATCTAAGACAAATTTTTTGCCAAAATCTTAGTCTACTTTTGATCAGGGAGTATAGTAATGGATGTAGTATCAAAAATAATTCAAAATTGCTATAGATTTTGGTATACAATTTTCGACCAATTTTAGAAATTTAAAAAAAATGAAGTGAAAATGTTTTCAAAAAATTTAGTATTATTTAAATCGAGTATAGTAATGAATTTAGCAGATTTTGGTATAAAATGTCGACCAATTTAAAAATGTTGAAATTTAAGCCAACTTTTTTTTTTGCAAAAAAGCAGTTTAAATTTGGTTCGGAAAGAATTGTAAAAGATGTTGTAAAAAACATCCACAAAATAGAACCACCATTAAAATGATTCAAAACAAATTTATCAAAAATGGGGGAAATCATATGAAATTGGTCGGAAATTTTATACTAAAAATGTTTAAGCAATACTGAAAAGTTTGTGTTACTTTTGCACCTACGATGCAATTTTAATTAAAATTAATAATTGGTACAAATTTTTAAATATCTAAAATTGGTCGAAAATTTGCATAACAAAATCTATACCAATGTTGAAATTTTGGATACTATATATACTCTACAATAAATTACAGTAAAAAAAAAAACAAAAAATTGAACTTAAATTTGAATTTATTTGGAAATTAGTCGGAAATTTTTTAAATTTTTTTAAAAGAATTTGTTTCTTTTTTTTGTTTTGGATACTATTAGCACATCCTTTTAAGTAAATTTTAAAATTTACCAAAATTTTAACTTTTTAACATTTTTGCAAATAAGTTGGGTTAAATTTCAAAATGCGTAAAGTTAGTCGAAAATGTTTACCAAAATCTAAACCAATATTTACTTTACTATACTTTTTTACTACTACTAATTTTTCGAAACATGTTGTTTAAATTTCAAAAATTCTGAAATTGGTCGGAATTTGTTTTACGAAAATTTTGAACCAAAACTAAATTTTTTGTATAATTATACTATATTTTCCAATCCAAATAAGACTAAAATTTTTGGAAAATTTTTCACTTAATTTTTTTAAATTTCTAAAATTGGTCGGAAATTTTATAACAACAATTTAACTAATATTCATTTTTTTTTTAAATACAACAACCATTAATATACACTCTATATCCCTCTGATTCAAATTGGAATATAATTTTTAGAAAAATGCGACTTAAATTTCAAACATTCTGAAATTGGTGGGATTTTTCTTACCAAAATTTTGAACCAAAACTGAGTTTTTGTGGATAATACATCCAAACAAGACTAAAATTTTTGGAAAATTGTTAACTTAATTTTTTTAAATTTCTAAAATTGGTCGGAAATTTTTGAAAATTTTGTTTAAATTTCCCAATTTTTTTTCATAATAAAAAAAATTCATTTTTTTATCTTGTAAAAAATTTACTATAACTTTTAAACTTCCCCCCATAAAAAACCATCAATTTATTTTTTTTTCAAATCTTTTTTTATTTTTATTTAATTTATAAATTTTCTTGTTTTTCTTTCCTTTTTCTTTTAAGTAGAGTTTATTAATTAATTTTTTTATTTTCATTAATATTAAATACATTACATTTTAAATGACTAAATGAAATTTTTGTCAATTTTATGTGTGTATGTATACGTGTTTACTGTTGTTTTGGGGTTTTGTTTATGGTTTTAGTTTGAAAAAAAAAAAATTAAAATGAAATGCAATTACAAACTTTCGTAGAAAGAACGAAAAAAAATGTTGTCAAGTGGTAAAAAAATGGATTGAGAAAACCAAAAACAAACCATATAAAAAAAAACGCTTTCTTTTTCAAATTGTTACAAGCTGGCAAAATTTTTGCTACCTTTCCCCGCCGTTTGAGTGAGGGGGGGAGGTGATGATGATGGAAATGAAAACATTTTGAATTTTTCGTTAGGGAATAATAGAAATAAAGTTTAAATATTAAAAAAAATTATACAAAATTTGTCGAGTATTTTTTCATTATTGTTGGAAATAATTACATTTGTGTCGTCTGTGTGTTGTTATTCATTTTTTTTAATATTTTTAAATAAATGCACAGGTTTGTTTTTTTTTTTTATTTTAACAAGAGTTTTACAACTTTCTTTGTTTTTTTCTTTTTGTATTTATTTTAGTTTTTCTTTTTTTATTTCCTATACAAAAAAAACGTTATTTTCTTTTAATAAATTTTATTTAAAAAAACAAAGCAGCAGTCTTGTGTTTGTGTTTCTTTTGTAACTTGCGCGTCTACTCTTTCCCTTTTTTTATATTCCCATTTTTATTTTTGTTTTGAATCAATGAAAAAACAAAATGCTATTTTCCATAAAAATGAACGACGAAAATGAAAAAAAAAAAATAAAGTTAAAAAATTATTTCAGATTTTTTGGGGGGTATATATTTTTTGTTTTCTTATTTTCTTTTAAAAATTAAAATTAATTTCTTAGATCCAGCAAAATGTTGGCTTTTCAAAACACATTAATGTGTGGTGTGCCAATAATCTACATTTTAAAAAAACATTTCAAAAATTATTCTTTTTTTTGTTTTGCTGGCTGGTTTATAGGGTATTCTAAGAGTATATTTCTTAAAATTAATCATAATAAAAAAATTAGAGATTTTGTATGTTTTTTTTAGTTATTATGCTTTCTACAATTGTTTGTTGTTGTTGTTAAGGACAATACGTTTTTTTTTTCTTGAGCCAATTTGAATTTTTTTCTTTAAAGTAAAAAAAAAAGAAGGAAATTTGTCATTTTTTTACAATTAACAACAACAAAAACTCTTAGATAATTTTTTTCTTTCATTACATATTATTTAAAAAAATACAAATAAAATTATGCTGCTGCTGTTCTTGTTGTTGGTGGTTTGAGTTTTGTTTTTTATGAGAGTCTTAAATGTAAATACAAGTTTACTTTGACTTTGTTACTGGTGTTACGGCTGCTGCTGCTTCGGTTGTTGTTGTTGTTTTTTGTGTGTTTGTATGGTGTATATATGTGTGTGGGTATTTTACTTAATCGAAAAAGTTAAATTTACAAAATTTAATCGCTTTCATCCTCTTCCTCAGATTCAGCCTTCTTGCTTCGTTTCGCTGGAGCCTTGGAGGCCTTGCCGCGTTTTTTGCCAGCACCATTCGCCGCTGTTGAGCCACCATTTGCCTCAAATTCACGCATTGCAACTTCATATTCTTCTTTGGCCTTAACGGCTTTGGCTTCCCATTCCTAATAAACAAAAAAATAATAATTAGCAAAGTTAAAAAAAAAATCAAATATTTAATACTTACAGATTTGTCTTTCATTGAACGCCAGATTTCGCCACCCTTTTTGGCAATTTCTGTTACTTTAATGCCGGGATTTTCACGTTTGATCTGTTCACGGGCTGAGTTCAACCACAAGAAATAGGCGGATAGGGGACGTTTTGGTTTATCAGTCATGTTAGTAATGGTGGTGGTTGTTGTTACTACACAAAAAATCTAAGAATGCAAGTTTTTGTTGTTTGTCTGTAAAAAAAAACAAAGAAGAAGAAGATATACAAATTAGTATTATATTTTCAAATTCAAATTAAATCTAAAATAAAATGGTTACTGCAAAATGTAGGGCTTTAAAACGGAAACAGCTGTTTTGCCTATGAAGAAGACTTGATGTGAACAGCTATGCAAATTGGAGCTAACATTGCAAAATGCATGACCAATTACTAGGTGAGAAGAAGAAGAACAGTAAATTGTGTGTTCTGTAAAACAGTAAACATTTTACTATAAAAGTAATATTAAAATGTGTATTGTTTATAAATTACAACAGTTTCTTTTTGAATTTCAATGCAATAATTCCGCTTTTATTAAAAAGAATTAAACTATTAATAAAAAAAGAGCAAACCTTGCAAAATACATGACCAATTACTAAGTGAGAAGAAGAAGAACAGTAAATTGTATGTTCTGCACAAAAGTAAACATTTTACTATAAAAGTAATGTTAAATTATGTATTGTTTATAAATTACAACAAAGTTTCTTTAAATTTTAATAAAATAATAACACTTTAATTAAAAATAATTAAAGTTTAAATAAAAAGAACAGTGAATTGAAGTACTCAAGTTTACAAGAGAGTAATTCCGCCGTCTGTCAATTTGCATAATGAGAAGAAGAACTGTTTGTTTTGTATAAGAAGTAAAAAATGTATGTTATAAAAATACAAAAATTAAAGTGGAAAAATTGTTAATTTATAAATTACAACATTTGTGGTAAATTATATAAAAATACATTTGTACACGCTTGTAAAACACACACAACGGCAAAAAAAATGATGCCCGCAGTTTGTCAATTTGCACAATGAGAAGAAGAAGAACAATGTTCTGTATAAGGAAAATATGTTAAATTGTGTGACAGAAAAAAACAAAAATTAAAGTGGAGAAGTGTTTTGTTTAAAAATTACAACAACAATTGTGGTAATTTCTATAAAAAAACTCTTTTATACGCTTGTATTACACACACAACATCGCAAAACATTGATGCCTGTTTTTAGCATATTAGTTCTCTCTGCATACCAAACAACTATAATGTGGGAAGAAGAAGAGTTCACAGCAAACTAAGCTTGGCGAACAATATAATTCCAATAAATTAAACAAATATTATTTGTTTAATACATATTTTAACACAAAGAAATAAATTTTGATAAACTAATAAAATAACAAACACGCAACATGGCAAAAGAATGATGCCCATTTTTATCATATTAGTTCTCTCTGCATACCAAACAACTATCATGTGGGAAGAAGAAGAGTTCACAGTAAGCCAAGCCAATAACTTAAATAAATATTACTAGTTCAATATATATATATTAACACAAAAAAGAAAAATTTTGAAAAATAAATTAATAAGATAATTTTCAAATCAATTTATCGTTGTGTAAAGAGAGTGGCGAGGAGTTCGTTCTCTTGGCATGACAAATACATATGTGGGAAGAAGAAGAGTCCAAGGAATTATTGTTTAGTGCAAAGGAAAAATATATTTAACTTAAAAAAAAATAAACGGATTTTTTGAACAATTGCAAATGAAATAATAAATTAAAATATTAATGCAAAAAAAAGGTTTTATTATAATTTATCTCTGCCTTTCAAGAGAGTAAAATAGGAGAGATGCCGTCGCCTGCCTGCGTTTACATGACAAACATGTATACACACTAGAGCAAAGTAAAGACAAGTCATCAGAGTACAGTAGAGAATTTCTTTGGGAAAACCAAAAATATGTAATAATTTTATGCCGCAGGGAAGATTTTTTGATTTCATTTATGCGATAGCAATATTATTTTGTTCGATTGTTTTAAAAATCATCAAAACAATGCCTTTTCAAGAAGAAATTGGCAGAAAAACGGGGCAACTTGGCATCATTGTTACACAAAATGACATTTGTTTCTTCTTCACCACTCATCAGAGAGAGAAAAAAAATAGGCACAGTTAATAAATTATTAAATATAATACAAATAAATAAATAACAAAATCACTATTTATTTTAATAATTCTTTATGGAAATTGTGTGTAGAGTAACCAAGAAAGCAAATTAAAATGCATAATGTATGTGTTTGTTTTCACTGCCGTGAGCAAGTAGAACTTCAGTATACGTCGTTACAAAGAGAGAGTTGCCTGTTGTTACGCGTTGTACAGTAGACTACACAATTTGGCAAAAAAAAAGCAAGCGAAGGAGGAATTAATTATTAAATTGATTACTTTTCACACAAAAAAAATTAAAGAAAAATTTAATACAATTAATAAAATATACAATTAATGAAAGTATATTTTACTATGAAAAAATGCCCATGAAAAAGAGCCGCCAAAAATATAATTGGTATGTCTCTCTCTGTGTTTGTGGCTTGAATTATTAAAATAACCAAATTTATAACATGGGATAATAAAAAAATGGTACCCCACCATTTTTTGGCAATTTGGTTATTTATTTTTAATAAAAAAATGTTTCTTGTTATTGTTTTATATAAAAAAACATGGAAAATACAAAATATTTGTTGTATGCTGCTCTATTTCATTCTTGAGTATTTGACAACAATTCTCTCATTGAGAACAGAAGAACGGTAACAAACAAATGTCAAGTATAAATCCAACAGCAAGCAAATGGCAAGCCAAAAAATAATTATATTTTTTAGAAGCAATTAATCAATTTAACAGTAAAAAAAATACCATAAACAAATAAAATAAATGTTTAGAAATGTTATATTTGTGCTTTTTCAATTCCAACAATGAAGTGAATCGCATTTTATAGCAAAAAAAAAACAAATTCTGTGTATTGGTTAGTGGTCATGACAAAAGAACAGATTTGGCGCTTTTTTTCTTCTTTGAAAGCTGTCAAGCTTGCTTGCTTTTGCTCGCTCTTCTACCACACACAATTAATGGGATTTAACGGAAATTATTTAAAACATATTTTTTATGATAGTTTTGTGTTTGTTTTAAAGGTATACCAACAAAAAATAATAATTAATTAAGAAACTGTACCCAACAACAACGAAAAACCAAGAAAGATATTTTATTAATAATATTATTATTAATAAAAATTGCTCTCTATTGTTTGTTTGTTGTAGTTAGTAATTAATTTCAAACCAACCAAAAAAATGTTAAGTTTATTTCACAACACTCACTTTTTTAGATTATTTTTGTACAATAATTTACAAAAATCTTTGTACTTTGTATTTTAACAATTTCTTGTATTATTTAAAAAATATTTTTTTTTTATTTTACAGACACACACTCAACTCAATATTTTTATTTTGCTAAGCAATAAACGTTGATTTTTGTAGAACTGTTTCCTTGAGATCCTTAACTTCAACTGTACTGTAGAGTAAATTGTTCAACGTTTAGGTGCGAGTCATGCAAACTGAACAACTTCAGTAGAGTGGATGTATAGATAGATGGTTGGCTGGCTGGCCTGGTTGGTTGATTTTGTTCGTATCGTTGTAGTACACACACAATGTGTGGATGATGATGATTTTACTGCTGTGTGTATTAATATTGTTGGCTGGCTGCTCATGTTGCCCATATACATACAGGGGCCAGGCAAAGCAAGCAGGCAGGCAGACAAGGCATTCAGCCAGCCAGCCACTAAATACAACAGCAGCAGCAACCAAACCGAGCCGAAAAAAACATACAATGGTGGTTAAACCGAAAAGCAAAGTAATGGATGGCTGGTTGGTTGGGTTGTTTGGTTGACGTGAAGAAGACGAAACCCCATATACACACGCCGCTTTGCTTGGCTCTATACACACGGTATATAGAGTAGCGAGTAGAGTTAAGCATACACAACACAGAACAGAGTACAGGCAGGCAAGCAAAAGCAAGCATTCAGTCAGATAGACATATTCAGAGGTTAGCCAGCCAGGCAGCCCGTTCGTTCGTTGTCTGTGTGAACCAAAGCAAACCAATGAATATAAGCATGAAAGAAATAACAAACAACACAAGACAGCCATTCTATTTCACATTCAACGAGTTTCACATCAGCATTTTTTGATAAAGACCAAAAGAAATAAAAAAACACACACACACACAAAATGTGTGCAAGTAATTTAGTTCGCATGCTATGAAATTCGTTGGTTCGTTCGGTGTCGTCATTACCAACTAATAATAAAACGTCAACGTTCGCTGCCAACGTTCATGTACCAGCGCTGGCAGAGACATTAACGTCGTCGTCTTCGTTGCCTACTGTACTACATAAAAATCAAAAACACACACAATGTGTGAAGAGGAAACAGCAACCCAAGTGGGAATATTTGATGAAATTTGTAGCAGGGCCTGTCTGCCTGCTGCTGCATTTCCAAGGCAAACAACAACGTCGTTGGCATTTCCTCCTCTTATCATCACATATACAAACCGAAAAAATATAACGTACACATTTTATTTTGCCATTTCGAAAAATAGAAACTCTTTTGAATATGTATACAGAATAATAACAAGAGAAATCATAAATAAGAGACAAATTATCCTTCTGGCCGCCCTGTGATTTTATTTTCTCCCTCTCTCTATTTTGGGAAAAATCTGTGTCATGTTTTGGCACCTACTGTAATTTTTGATAAAAAGGATAAACAAAAAATGATAAATGGGGCTACTCTCTCTCTCTCTCTGCCATGTGATGATCAATGACAACACACAGAGAGAAGATATGGCCCCATTCCAATTTTTAAATGAGGAAATAGGCGCAATTTTATTAGTTATTTTAATTTCAAAGATACACATTTTTAATTTTTGATATAAACAATTGCTCAAGAAAAACAATAAAATACAAACATAATTATGTTTTACATATTAATAAACGGCAACAGAAAGAAAGACAGAGAGAGACGGGGCTCTGTCAAAGTCATGCAAAGAATGCGCGATTTTGTTTCTTTCAAAAATGTACAGCTTTAAATTGTTTCAAATTTTATATAATCGTATATAATATTATAAAATATATTGGGAAAAAAAAATATAATAAAGAATTAAATGCAAAATAAAAAATATATATTTTGATCATGATATTAAACGTTATTTGAGCCTCTCTCTTTCCTCATTAAGACGACTTGGCAATTGTCAGTCAGCCATGCAAAGAAGGCGCGATTTTGTTCCTTGCAATAATTAATTATATTATACAATTTATTTGTAAAAAAATATAATAAAGAATTAAATGCAAAAAATATATTTTTTGATGATGATGTTTAAACGTTATTTGAGCCTCTCTCTTTCGTCATCAAGACTTGACAATTGTCAGCCAGTCATATTCAGAAGAGAAAAGGCGCAATTTTGCTCCTTACAATAATTTATAGTTTAAATTGTTTAAAATATTATATAATGTTTAGAATATTATTTATAAAAAAATATTATTTAAAAAAAATATTAAATTCAGACAAATATATAATTTGATCATGATATTTTAATATTAAATAAATGTTTTGCTCTCTTTTGTCATTATCACATTTGATTAACGACGGCGGCAATGTATTTAGAAACGGCGTCAAAGCTGCTGTACCATGCAATTGTCAGTGAAGAAGAAAAAAGTGGCGCAATTTTTTGTTATTAAAATTATACAAATTAAATTTATTTATTTTAAGTAAAACCATTAAAATATCAAATATTTAAATAGGTATATTGGAAAAAAAACTATAACCTAGAGGAGCAGAGAGGGAATCTGTGGTGTCAGACACAACAGTTGAGTAGAAAAAAGCGCAATGTGTGTTGTTGCTGTTTAGATAGAACAATTAACTAGTTTTTTAGTTTTTAATTTATTGACACAGAGTAGTAAAAAGAGGAAAAAATACAATAAAAATCTATTTTGATCATGTTTTGTGAGGCAAAATGTAATTTTATCAAACAGAAAAACAAAAATCCAAATAAAATGAAAGAGAGGATATTTTGCATGACAAAGCCATTTGAGCCTCTCTCATTTGTCTTAACATTTGATTACGGCGGCAACTTAGAAATGGTGCCAAAGACATGACAATTGTCATTACAGTGTGGGAAATGAAACAATTTTGTTAATTAATGATTAAAATTGTTTATTCTTCGTTTAAAACATTGCATTTAATCCAAATAAAATGCAAGAGAGGATATTTTGCATGACAATGCCATTTTGAGCCTCTCTCATTCGTCATAACATTTGATTAACGGCGGCAACGTAGAAATGTTGTATATAAATTGATCATTCTTTGTTAGAACATTGCATTTTTAAATATATTATTGATGAACATTGAAAAGGATACATGACACAATACAAAATTATGCATATTTTATTAACAATGCAACGACAACCGCAAGAGATGGACGGCAGCGGCTCTGGTGTCACAACATGACATTTGTCAGTTAAAGTAGAAAAAAGGCGCAAAATTTATTCCATGTAAGAATGCTGCTTACATTGGAATTTGTTTATCCATTTTTAAACGTTTTATTGATGAAATCGATAGAAAATAAATAATAAAATACAAAATTACAGATTTTTTAACGGCACTATACAAAAAATATTTGGTGGCAACTGTAATATGTATGGCCATAGAAGAACAAAGCGACAAACAAATGTTAAGAGCCTCTCTCTCTCTCTCTCTTCAAAACATATGATCAATGGATACTCCAACAAAGCAAAGATGTGATGTGTCAAAACATGACGGCAGCAAATGGGGAAAAGGCGCAATTTTGTTTAGGAGTCACTAGAATCCTTGACATTAAAATAATTTAATATTAATTTAAATGGGTTTTTGATGCAAGATGGAAAACTCTAAAATACAATGCAATGAAATAATGGCCACACGAAGAAGAAACATGACAATTGGCTGGTTGGATATAAAAAAGATGGAATATTTATTCCTTGTAAGGGTGCTGTTGCTTTTGATTGAATTTCTTTAATCATCGTTAGAATATGGATTTTTAAATATTAATCTGAATGAAAGAATCAGAGGATAAAATACAAAATATTGTTTTTATCAACTGCACCACCATACAGAGAAAGTACAGCAAAACAGGACGACTGCATCTAGAAAATGGCGCAATAAATGTTTCTTACAAGGAAAATTCTGATGATAAAAATATTTGTTTATTTTTAGTTTCAACAATGATTTTGAAATGATTTAGTGATGAATGAAAACCATCTACTACTAATGAAACCGAAAGCAGATTCATGTATTTTTATGGGGGGAGTAAATTCCGCAGTACAGTTGTGCCCAAATGTTGCAATCATTTTGAGAACAGACGGCCGTATAAAAATTATTTTCAAATATTCAATGGAAGTAAAATTGGTAAGACGACACAATGTTTTTAAATTAGTAATAGTAATATTTTCATAATATTTTCGTTATATAGACAACAAAAGGAGTTTGCCGAATGTCTGACCTTATTTCTGTTAACAAATAGTTTGGATAGCCACTATTGATAAATTCGATGAAACAGATTGTATATTCGATGAAATCGGCTAGAAAAGCTACATATCAATCAATTAAGATATACCAATATTGGATCGAATACAAATATTCCTGCAACTATGTTAGTGGCTGGCAAAGGAATTAGCATTTTTGTCTTTGAAAACCAAATGTCTTTATTGCAATTATATCCGCGTAATGTAGGAAGAAACACACACAGGGGGATGGATATTCATAACCAAAATATGTAATTGTAAATTGTTGTTCGATATTTTGTATCCCTACATGGGATTAAAGAAAGAAAGTGTTTATTCCCTAATAGATTGGACAATTGTTAAAAAAATATGCAGTCAACGATATTAGAATGAATATTTTTGGTAATAATTATTGAATATTTTTAAAAAAATATAATCTAATTTGTCTCCCTCTATATTTGCAGGAAAGATGACAAATGACAACATATGAATGCACTGAGTCGAATTTACAAATGTCGTTTTTAATGATTATGCGAATGAATTTTCACAGAATTTTTCACCATCATTTTGTAGGAAAATTGTGTTCGTACAGTCGAGAAAAAGTATTTACTGAATAACTTAAATTTTTTCGAAATTGGGATTTTATCACGTTCAGAATCATATAATTGTTTTAAGGAGATTTATCCATAAAACCAATTTCTTAAATTGCAGTAAAATTCAAATGACAATATTATCATCAAATCAGTACGGAGGATTCTTAAAAAAATATAAAATATATTTTCTTAAAGAATATGAAATATATTTTTTTAAAAAATATAAAATATATATTCTTAAAAAAATATTTAAAATATTTTGTTAAAAATATATAAAATATTTTGTTAAAAAAATATAATATATTTTCTTTAAAAAATTATTTTTTTTTCAAAATTCCCACAATTTCCTTTAAATGTTACAAAAAAGCAAAAAAAAAAATAATTTAATGATTAACATTTGTTTAAATATTTATTTTATTTTTTTTTCATTCACTTAAATTTAAAGAATACATTTTTAGCATAGTTTTATTTTTTTTTTTTTAAGATACAGTTGAAGTGGGTCTCATCATCACCATCATCACACAACATTTGGCGGCGTGGTGGGGGTTCTTCTATCTACTATATATAATTTTTTCATTGTAACAAATAACTACCACTCTAAAAAAATGTGGCATTGTTTCATTTTTTAACTTAAAACTTTAATTCAAAATTTAAATTTAATCGCTCTCATCATCGTCATCCTCATCTTCAGATTCGGCGGCTTTTTTGCTCTTTTTCGCTGGTTTCTTAGCGGCTTTACCGCGTTTCTTGCCGCCACCATTCGCCGACATATCACCACCACCCGCCTCAAAATCTTTAACCGCTTCGCCGTAATTTTCTTTGGCCTGTAAGGCTTTGGCTTCCCATTCCTGGAAAACAAAAAATACAAATTAGAAAAGAACGATAAAAAATTACTCATTTTTAAAACTTACCGATTTGTCCTTCATGGCGCGCCATAATTCACCACCTTTTTTGGCAATTTCCGTAACTTTAATACCGGGATTATCTTTTTTGATTTGTTCACGGGCTGAGCTCAACCAGATCATATAGGCGGATAGAGGACGTTTTGGTTTATCACCCATTATTATGATGGTTGGTAGGTAGGTAGGTTAGGAGGTGTAGTTTTGATAATGTATGAAAAGGTTGATGATGTGTGTATGGTGGGTGGGTGATGTTGTTGGTTTGGAAATTAGTAGCTAGAAAATGAAAGAGGAAAATATGGGATGATGTGTGGTTAGATAGGATGGATGGATGTGGATAATGATTTGGTGATATAATGATATTTTTAAGGACAAATATTTTTTTCCGATAAAATGAAACAATTTTTTAGTATAACGTCACTAAATCACTGCTGCTGATCGACGCTGATTATCCTTTGACAAGGTAATCTATGAAAATTATACCCCGAACGTCCCAAAATACAGATATCATAACATTGTCACGACGATTGAGGTTCTATTTAATGCATTTTAACGAGAGTGGGATGAAGTTTGTCCAGGCGGTGGAGCCGGATTGCACGGTGGACATATGACCACGTTAAAATTTGACATACCATTCCCCTTTAATGGTTATCTAGCCGGCAGCTCTACCCGGAAATTCTTCTTAATCTTCAACGGTATTTTTCCTTTTTCACAAAGCAATATTTTTTTTATTAAAACGAGTAATTCCTTTTTGTCCATTATTTTCACTCACATCACACCTCTTAAACAACAAATGATGGCAGATCATCAAATTTCAAATTATAGACATACCTCTTTTTTAACAAAAATTCCAAAATGTAGTTTAAAAATTTTGCTTGGCAAAATTATTTAATTTTTTTAATTTCCTTTAACTTTAGAACTATCTCCTTGAGATCCTCAACTTCAACTGTATGCTAGAGTAAGGGCCACAGAGTTTAGCTGCGAATTTGCCCAGGCAAAACCAACCAAATCCTTGTAAAAAAAATATAAAACAACAATCATCGTTGTTACATAGAGCATGATACATACGTATGGAAACAATTTTAGTTACCTGTTGTAGCATATAAAGAAAGTGAGTGTCCTGACTGACACACAAACAACAACCAAAAATGATACCCTTAAAAAGGCAGCAGATGTCACACAAAGGACACAGGGCTCGGGGGTTCTACTACTCTAGGCGATTGTGTGTGTGAATTGTATTTTGTTTGTCCTTTTACATTATGTGTGCGTCTAGGTAGACAGGGAATTTTCTACATTTAATATGCAATGGGTTTAACAAAAATACCAATTTAGCTGCTGCTGCTTTATTTTTGTATATGAAGAAACACACAAACCAAGCCAGCCAGCCAAGCCATTTAATGGCGCAATTAAACACAGAGCCAAGCAACTTTGACAGCCCACCACACAAACCAACCAACCAACAACAACACTACTCTCTATAGGGTAGACATATAAGAAAAGAGAGCGCGCGCCATTTATGCGCCGTTGTGTTTTTCGTTACTGCTGTCACTACTACACTACTCTTCTATGGGGAGAGTACAGACAAACATACATATGTGATATGGGAAGAAGAGGAAGTTTGTTGTTGAGTTTCTTCTTCTTCTTCTTGTTGGATGCCTGACTGGCTTGATGTGTTTTATACAAAGTACAGCACACCAAACCCAAGCATAATCGACGGGTGTACGACCAACAACCAACCAAAATACATTGAAATTACCCAAAGAGATATAGACAACAAAAACATGGGCATGCATGGATGCAGCGAAGCAAAGGAAGTTACTTTGACAATGTGTCAAATTGACATGGTAAAGAAATGATGCAAAGAGCGTTCTCTTAATAGAAGAGCAGCGCGCAGCAATTGATTGTTTTAACAAAGTAAAATAATAATAATAAAAACAAATAATGGAGAATTTAATAAAGTTTCTTAAGAAAAAAAAAAATAAATAACATGGGAGAATATTTTAATAGATTTTCTTTAATTAAGCAACTTTAAAATTCAAATAAAATTAAATCACAAACAAAACACACAGAAAGATAATGCTTCAAACAGATCTCTCTCTCTTGATAAGAATGCGGCAGCGAGCAGCAATGGAGTTGCTTTGATATGTGAAAAGTGATGCAAATATGTGCTTGCAAATTAAACAGCATTTATCGAAAAAATTTTAATATATACATATACCAAATGGTATTATTTAAAATGTATGTGTAAAACGCGCGCTTTCTCTCTCTTTGAATAACAGCTGAGGGCAATTGTCAGTCAATGCAATGATAATTAAAAGTGATGCCAACTTTTTAAAAATAGCATGAAAAATTGAGGATTAAATGAAATTCCCTATGAAAAAGATTTTTGTGGTAAAAAAAGGAATACAATTCTATTTCGATTTATGTTATTATCAGTAGGATGGGATGTTTGGTATTGAAAATGGGTTTCACATCCCCAAACAATATTGACCCGGGGTTTTTATGCTCGGTTTTTAACAGAATCGACTATTATCACTAGAATGCTTGGTATTGAAAATGGAATATATCGGTGCACATTATGGTATAGCCCCTATATATAACTACTATACCCCAAATATTCGGTATGTTAGGGATTTTTGGAATGTTTTTCAACCGAATTTGTTGTATTTTGGATCCTTATTGGGTTTTACACATCTCCCTAAGAAAAATTAACAATATTGCCTCGTTTCGAATTAGTCCCCAACATTTAGTATTTTGGATTCACATTTGGTATATTAGATCTGCCTACGAAAAATTATCAACATTCACCCATGTTTCAGGGTAGACACCTCAAATATTCGGTATTTTGCGGGTTTTTGGTCAAAAGTTTCAGCCTAATTGGCTGTAATTTGGTATTCAAAATTGTGGTGTGGTAGCAAATATTGCCATTAAAAATGGTTACTACTCCCTAAAAAATGGATCATCTTATGACGCTACATTTCAAAGTTCGTTATTTTGGTGATCATGTTTGTATATTTTGGATTCTCATTGAGTAGCAAATTTACTCATATTGACAATTTAATAACTTTTTAACGGAATTTTCTCATATAAATGTGGCTATTAATTTGACATATCGGATTCCTGGTGAAAAAAAGAAAAATTCATTTAATTTGTAACACTTTGAAATTTAACGAAATAACATATAGTCCCTATATAAATGGAATTTTGAATGCACATCACGTGGTGGAGGGTATAAAAGGTTCGGCCCGGCCGAATTTATTATTTCTTTAGTAACATTCTGGGTCAAAAAACAAAATTTTAACAGCACCATATTTAGAATATTTCGAATGATATATTAATAATAATTAATAATTATTATTAATAGTTTGGATGTTTTTGGATGTTCAATAAAAAAAAATAATAATTATCATGAAAAAAGGTATTTTTATTTGTTATTCTTTCTGCAGTTATAAAAAATTAATTTGAGAACAAATTTCTATATATTTTACAGACGTTAAAGTTAATATAAACATTTTTCTATTATTATTTTCATATATTAAGTTAATTCCTATGTAATTTTGCATATATTAATGTGCATTTAACACTTCCCGCTGAATTCAAACACAATAACCCAAAAGTATTGGCATCACTGTTTTGTGATAATTCAAAGAAATTTGTCATCACCATCATAAAACAAAAGCAATAACAACAAAAAACACAAACATGCAATTGTCAAAGAGAGTACAGGTGCTAACAAGATTAAACACCACATAGAATTAAGATCTTAATATTTATTAAAATTGTTTGATAATGTATTTAATTATTTATTAAATAAATTAATGCCCCATTGTTTGTGTGGTACTACAAGAGAATCAACAAACATGGATCTCTCAACAGTGTCTCCACTCTCTCTCTCATCAATGCAATTGATAAGGGGTCGCAAAAGATTACAGCATGAGAAGAGACATGACTATTGTCATAAACGTAAAACAAAATGAAGAAAATAGTAAAAAAGATCTTTTAAAATTAAATATCAAAAGGGGATAATACGAATTTATTAGAAAATATCCCAAATTGTTGCACAATCACAAAAAACAGCCGTTTAAAGGCGTACTGCCTAGTCTTTCTTTTGTATGAGAGGTGTCATATATATATCTAAGAGAACAAGCATCAACTTTCAAGTTCTCCCTCTTTCTCTCACTCATTGCAAATTTGCCATATGATTAGTACAGACGACAATGACAGTTATTTAGCCAAAGAAAAGAAAATCCATCCATTGCAGCGCAGAAGACCAATTTTATAAAGAAAAAAAATGTTTTAAAATTCAAACGAAAGAATATGGAGAGAAGGCACAAGAATGAATTTGAAAAATCAAAACAAAATACCAAGAACAAAACAAATGCTGCAAGAAACCAAATTTAAACTTCATTGAATGGACATGCACAACAGCAGCAGTGTGGCGGCGGCAGAAGAAAATATTTTCCCGCCAAATTGTTAAAGGGAATTCTTTAGAGGCCTTGGTACGGCGGCATATTGTTTGATAGAAAACCTACACTATCAACACATGTCAGCCGGGTAGGCAACCAGGGTTTGTTGCAAAATATTTTGTACCAAGTTTCCGTTAAATATTTTTACTCATGCTTCTTCTTTCTTTCTTTTAGGGGAGGAGGCGAGAGCAGCTGATGCCTCCTGCCTGCCAGTGATGTGCTGCATTTTATTTTAAAATGGAATACTTTCTAACCACGGTTAGGTATTTTCTTTTTGTCTAAGAATGGAGGGGTTGTTTTGTAAAGAATTTCCGGATCACAACAAAATGGATAAATGTTATTTGAGAAGAATGGTATCAAAACAAATAAGCCGATAGGGTTGTGTTTTGGTTAAACTGTATCAAAAAACGAAGAAAGGAGATTTGAATCGGTTTTTGGATTATGTAAAACAACAACCTATTAGATAAGATACACAACAACAAATTTTCAAGGAATTTTCGATAATGAACTAAAATAACCGCTTTAATTTTAGAAAACTAGAATTAGTCAACAGCTTGATTTAAGATAACAGCAATTGTTGGGTAGGACCTTATTAATGGAGATCTATGCGCCAAAATCCCAGCCAATTCCTTTTTAACAACTTGACGGAAATTCTCAAAAATACCCAATACATTTATCATAAAAAGTCAAGCCGATATCGATTTTTGGTTGTCGTGGAAAAGATCGATTTTTGGTAGGGAGATTTGCTATCAATGTACCATAGCATAGTCATTTCAGTTGAAAAAAGGTGAAAAAAAAAATATATATATATCATAAAAAGTGGATCGGTATCGATTATTTTTGCTTGTTGTTGTAGCCCTATTGCTTTTACACAATAGGCTAAGGTGACAGACGTTGGCCGAGAAAGACTCGGATCGTAGACCTTCGTCTTGGAAACGTGGCTTTAAGGCTCTATCTTGGTCTGTTTAGATAATACATGTAGTCTCTACAGAGGCCAATTGGCCAGTATAGAGACCACAGGTTCTTTATAGAGACCGAATTGCTTTATAGAGGAGTTCGACCTACTTAAGGCGTGGATTCTCAAAATATTTTTTTCTGGCACCTACATAAGACGTGGATTCTCAAAATAATTTTTACTGAGAATAGAGGTTTTTATAGAGGTCGGTATAGAGATCACAGGTTTTTATAGAGGTCCATATATAGATCACAGGTTTTTATAGAGGTCGGTATAGAGATCACAGGTCTTTATAGAGGTCGGGGTATAGATCACAGGTCTATATAGAGGTCGGTATAGAGATCACAGGACATCATAGTGGCTAATTGGCCGGTATAGAGATCACAGGACTTCAAAGAGGCTAATTGGACGGTATAGAGACTACAGGGAGGTTTATAAAGAGACCAACATAGGGCGTGGATTTTTAAAATAATTTTTTTCTGAGAATACAGGTTTTTATAGAGGTCGGTATAGAGATCACAGGTCTTTTGTATAGCCCAATTGGCCAGTATAGAGACTACAGGGGTTTATATAAAGACGAAATGGTCTGTGTGTAGAGACCAAAGGTCTTTATAAAGACCAATAGGAAAGTATATAAACTTTAAATCAAATAAAAAATACACGATAAGAATTACAATTTGTTTAAATATTTTTTTATTTCTTTTGTTTCATATAAATTAAAAAATATAAAGTTTTATGATACGTTTTGTACATTACAGTGTGTTGCAGGTGAGGGTGGTATGTTGTTTTCATACAAAAAAACTTTACTTGTTTTTGGCAATTTCGAAAATTTCAATTTGGAGCCCCTTTGTGGAGGGGAGGGAGCAAACAGCTAATTACAGCAAAAACAAATTATGTATTTTTTGGGTTTTAACTACAGTTGAAGTGTGTGGTTTTTTTCATCACAACATTTTGAGCAGTATGGTGGGTTGGTGCGGGTGTATCGTGGGAGTTTGGTTATCTATCTTCTAATATATAATTTTTGGGTAACAAATAACTACCACACTCTATAGTGGGGACACATTGTTTATTTTTCTGCTAATTTCCATTGATTTTTATCTTCATTTCATTTTTAACTTAAAACTCTTATAGTAGGACGAAAATTATTTTAACTTATATCGAAGAAAATTTAATCACTCTCATCATCATCCTCATCTTCAGATTCGGCGGCTTTTTTGCTCTTTTTCGCTGGCTTTTTACCAGCTTTGCCACGTTTCTTGGCCGAACCGCCGCCATTTGCCGTACTGCCACCATTTGCTTCAAAATCTTTAACAGCTTCCTCGTAATTTTCTTTGGCCTGGGCGGCTTTGGCTTCCCATTCCTGGAGAAATATATAAGAATAAAAACAATTTAGAAATAAAGTCCAATAAAAATGGAAAATTTCAAAACTTACCGATTTGTCCTTCATGGCCCGCCATAATTCACCACCTTTTTTGGCAATTTCCGTAACTTTAATACCGGGATTTTCTTTTTTGATTTGCTCACGGGCTGAGTTCAACCAAAGCATATAGGCGGATAGAGGACGTTTTGGTTTCTCACTCATTTTTGTGGTAAATGAAGGTGGGTGGATGGGTGTGTGTGTGTGGGTGTTTTTTTAGTAGGGAAGGAGTGTGTTTCTTGGAAGAAAGATGTTGTTGTTGTGTTTTAGGAATCCCAAGAAATTTGTTTTTTTTTTTTTGTTGCTTTTGAAATTAGCTAGAAGGAAAGGAAATATAGAGGAGATGGTGTGGTGTGGTTAGAGAATGAATGGAGGATGTGGATGATGATGGGTTAAAGATTGATCATATATGTTTATAGTTCCATAAAGCTTTGAAAATTTGCCTATGCATTGCTACTACTGTACAAGTATGATTTTGTATTGAAAAATAATGTATATTAACTACTTTTTGAGTTAGCCGTCATATAATGGCACCCCCATTTTTCGATATTTTGTGGACTTTCGGCTCGTTTTCCCATTGAATAGGCTGAAATATGGTACTAAGAGTTCCGATTGGATAGCAAAAACTCTGTACGAAAAATAATAGATATAGGTCCACTTTTTATGATAGACACCATATAAGGATAACAACTAAATTTCGGTATTTTTGCACGTTTTTCAAACGAATTGGCTGTATTTTGGTACTTTAATATTTTCTCACTGGATAACAAATCTCCGTACCAAAAATTATCAATGTAGGTCTACTTTTTAGGATAGCCCCAGTTATATGGGTACTCCAAATATTCGGCATTTTCTGGAGATTTGACAGGTTTTCCAATAGAATTGGCTGAAATTTTGTTCCTTGAGATCTCATAGGGTAGCAGATCTCCAGGCCATCAATCAATATATACACAAGGTATATTTTTTAAATTTCCTAATTTTTTTAATTTTCTATTTTTTGGTTTCCTAACTTTAATTTTTTTTGTTTCTTAATTTTCTATTTTTTTTCAAATTTTCTATTTTTTTAATTTTCTTTTTTTTTAATTTTCTATTTTTATTTAATTTTTTTTTAAACTTACTTTTTCAAAGTTGTTGTTATTGCGGCGTTGTAATTTCTTTTTTCAACACAAACTTTCAAACAATTTCAAATAACTATTTTTTTAAACAATTCCAATTTTTTTATTTTGAAAATTTTTGCTAGGCAAAATAATTCCAAGTTATTATAATTATTAGAACTGTCTTCTTGAGATCCTCAACTTCAACTGCATGCTAGAGTCTGAACTGAGAGTTTAGCTGTCAAGCAGCCCAAGCCAAAAATACCTTGTAGAGAACAAAAAAAAAAAAAAAACAAACATGAGCATGTTTCATAGGATAATGCACAAATATATGAAAACAATTTAGTTGCCTGTTGTAGAGGATGAATAAATAATCCTAGGTAGGTTGGCAGCCGTGGTATTAAATACATACAACAAAGCCAGGCCAGCAGTCTGCCTTCTAGCAATTTCACACACAATGTTGCACAAGGCAAGGAAGAAAGCAAAACCAATCAGGCAGGCACCACACGTCAGCCAGTCACATTCACACAGAACAAAAAATCCCCTTGAAACCCAGCAGCAGCAGATGCCGCAATGGAAAGTGGCTCTCCATTTACCTAGTTGCTTGTGTTTTGTTATCCTTCAATATCCCTAAGTAGCAATTTTGTTTTATACAAGAATTCAAAATTTTCAAGAGTCTCGCCGAACAAAGCCATTTGTAATGGCGCAATTATCACACACCAAACACAAGCAATTTTGATAGGCCACCAACCAACCAACAACACTACTCCTCTATTAGGTAGACATATACAAAGAGCCGCCAAAGAATACGCCGCTATGTGTACTACTCTCTTAGTACAGACACAAAATAATGTGAAAAGGAGGAATTTTTTTGTTGTTGTTTTACAAAGTACAGCAAGCACCCAAGCAAAATCATGAACACGAAAAAACAAAATTACCAAACAAAAACCGAAAGAGCGGGCGCTTGCATGATAAAATGAAGAACATGCACTCTCTTGATAAATGAAGAACGGTGCCTGATCCAAAAATGAGCGCTCTCTTAATAATAATATGTGGGGGCCAAATGAAAGACTCCAACACTTGTCATTTTGAAGAGTTAACTGCGTTACACAAGTGTTACCGGGACTGTGTATTAAAACTACTTCTCACAAAAACCAAAAGAGCGGGCGCTTGCATGATGCAAAAAAGAAAAGGCACTCTCTTGATAAATGAAGAATACAGGCAGACAATGGAGTTGTTTTGCAAAACGGTGCCTGATGCACCAAAGAGCGCTCTCTTAATAAGAATATGGCTGGGGGCCAAATGAAAGACCCCAACACTTGTCATTTTGAAGAGTTAACTGCGTTACACAAGTGTTACCGGGACTCTGTATTAAAACTGCTTTTTCTCTTTCTCTGTCAACATGCACATTTGCCATATGATTAAGTAAAAGGCGGCAGTGGATGGCGTCTATCATTTATTCTTGGCAAAATGAATAAAATTCTTTAGAAGACCTTTTATAAAAAAAAATTATCTAAATTTGAATAAAAAACAATAAGAGAAGAATATGGAGAGAAAAAGCACTAAAGAATAACATCCAAAAACCAAAACAAAAAATGAACAAAATAAATGCAGCAAATGGGCAAACAAAAACCCGAATTTAAAAGATGCAGTAGCAGGCAGTGTAACAGAAGAAAATATTTTCCCGCCAAAAAAAAAGCTTAAAGGAATTTTATTTAAACATTTTGGTTGTGGTATGGCAGGCATATTGTGAAGAAGAAAATATGCCGCAGCCATCGGACAATGCAGGCTGGGTTTGTTGTTGCTAAATGTATCTAATATATTTCCGTTTAAAATGTTTACTAATGTTCTCTTTCTTCTTTTTAGGAAAGAAGGCTTTTGTTTGCAAGCAGAAGAAACAGCTGATTTTGAAATGGAAATTGGATTGGGATTCCAAAAAAAAAAAAAAAACAATTTCTATGCATGATGGTGGAGGGAGGAAAGAGGTTGATGGTTTGTAAAGAATTTATGGATCACAACAAAATGGATAAAGAAGGAAAACAAAGCCGCTGCTTGCTTGTCTTCGGTAAAACAGTATCAAAAACATAACAAGGAGTTTTATGGAAATCAGAGTTTTTGGGTTTTGCACCAACAACAACAAACAATAGAAAAGCGTTTCCATGACAGAGAGGTATACGATCCGAAACGACCCGAGTATTTCTCGGCCAACGTCTGTCACATCTCAGCCCATTGTGTAAAAGCCATTGGGCTGCTACAACAACAAAAAACAATAGAAAAGGGATTTCAATGCAAAAACAACAACAAAAGAAAAATGTTAACACACAATTTCCCAAGAAATTTAGGAGGATAATGAAACCTTTAAATTTAAAAACTAAAATTAAAGGCCAATTGGTCTGAGAGACTAAAGGTTTTTAAAGATACCAAATGACTTTACGCAGCCCAATTGTTTTGTATAGAGACCAATGGTCGGTATTTACACAGGCCAATTGATCTATACAGACAAAACCAAAGGACTTTGTAAAGAATGCAATTGGTCTATATAGAGACCAAACTTCTTTTTTGTTACTACTCCTAGGAAATAGAAAATGAGATATATCGGTCCACATTATGGTATAGTCCCATATATAACAATACCACAAAAATGGGATATGCTGAGGATTTTTGGCACGTTTTTTTTAGCGAATTGGCTGCAATGTGGTTCTGATGGGCTGTCATATCTTCCTACCAAAAAAAAATTGACCATGACATAGTTCGCGTCTCATGTTGGGTGTACAAAAAGATCGTCCTTTTTACTTATTTAAATTATAGGAACCATATAATGGAGAGTGATAATGATGAGGGTGTTGGATAGACTCCAATTGGTTTATATAGAGACCAAAGATCTTTTTTTGTTACTACTTCTAGGAAATAGAAAATGAGATATATCGGTCCACATTATGGTGGTATCTCCATATAACTAAATTGGATGTATGTGGTTCTGATTGGCTGTCATATCTTCCTACCTTCCTAAAAATTTACCATGGCATAGTCCGCCTAATGTTGGGGGTGATGTATTAAAAGTTCAATCTGTTTACTTATTTTAATTATAGGAACCATTTCATGGAATGTGATAATGATGCGGATGTTGGAGATTATGGAATAAATATATAGATTGGGGGAAACCAGGAAACTTACCTGAGAATTAAATTACATTTATTATCATTTTTTTACACTCTGCTTTTTTCATTCATAACACATTTGGACTTCATTTCACTACTCTCTACACTTTAACACTTTTCATAGAAATCCAATTTTTTTTTTCATAAAAAAGGAAGCAAAATATTAAGAAAAAAAAATATAATGGAAGTGTGTGTGTGTGAAAATGGAAATGTGGGAGATTAGGGAGATTGATTGTATATGTAAAAAGCTGAATGATGGGTAAAAGTTCATGTTGCTCGAATGTAAATATTTATGTATATTATTTAAAAAAAATTGTCAAGCCAGAATGTAAAAAAAAAAAAAATATTTTGAAAATTATTGAATTATTAAAGAAATCAAGTTTTTTTACACAGATTTTTGTTTTTGAAATAGTTCCTCCTTAAGTTTAGGCGACACGAATTTGGTAAAATCGATAAGATTAATTATTATTGGGGGATATTATTTAACCTGAAAGTAATACTTATTAATAATAATTTGTTGTAATTTTCTTATAATTTTTATTTAATATTTCTATTTATTTGTTTATTTCTCTATAATTATATTTTATTTTTAATAATTTTTGTATAATATTAATTATATAATTATTAATTTAATTTTTTTTTATTTTTATCTATTTCTGTTATTTTTTTATTTTTAAGATTTTGTAATTTTAAAATTTTTTATTTTTTATAATTTGTATTTATTATTTAATTTTTTGTATTTTTTAATTTATTTTTATATGTGGTACAGGGTATTGTCATTGTGCATATGTTTGTAACAGGCAAAAGGAAACGAGATAGACCCGTGGTTACTTTTGAGAATATGCATAGAATCACTTTTTAAGTCGATTTATGCATGTCCGTCCGTCCGTCTGTCCATGTTAAATTGTAAATAAAG